GGCCAGGCGCATTCAAAATTGCAGACGGCGATGGTCACGAGTTGGCAAATTCCTGGAACATTGATCAATTACGTAAATTCTATGTATAAGTCAATAGTATCCATACTTGTAAGACATCTTACAGCTTCAATAAAGCATATTTTCAGGTCCAGATCACAATCGAAGTGTTCCTTCCCGAGGATCCCTTACCTAGATGACACCTTGCGTTGAAACCTATCCTCATGTCCCTTTACGCCGTCTTGACAAGGCCTCTGAGGAACCTAAGGGAACTTCGGCTGGGGACGCCCAGAGCCGATAAGGCCTTGATAGATCCTGTAGAGACGAAAGACCATGTAAGATCTGGTCATGTAAGAGTTCTCGCCGTGCGTATTAACCAAGCCGTGTAATCGGAAATAAACTTTCCAACTTCACGGCTGGGGCTAGGATCAGTGCTTGTTCAACCGAGGCAGGTCAAAGGTCCAAGAGCCTTATCTTCCGAGAAGAATTCTCCGATGACAAGGCTGGGGGCTAGGGAGAGTGTATAACTCAAATGACTGATCAAAGTCGCGAAGTGAGAAGACACTCATACACACTACATCCAGAGTAAGGAAGCTTAGTTAGATAGATTTCTTTTCTATTTCACAAGTATTTCTTACAATCCCATAAAAATCCAAAACTATATTACACTTTTGCCCTAAGACATTTGTCACAGGACACGGAGACTACTAGGAAGGCCAATGCCGGTCCATCGACTGGAAAACTTTCTCCGCCAGCGGCGCCATCGACTTCGCCAGGCCGTCTATCTCCGTAGGAGTTCTCCGAGAACGAGAAAACCCTTCGTGGAGGAACTCAAGGTGCAGCTGCGGACGATGATCTCGTATACAAGCCAATACATGCCCCCCGGCATATCGGCTCGATCGATGACACTCTTGCTTCAAGGCCTCGTCGATACGCTGGCCGATGCCATCGAGCTGGGTGCAGGCCCCATTCAGCCACGAGATGTATCCGGCCGCCGATTCCTCGGGATCCCCACGGGGTACTCGGAGCTCTCTACAAACTCTCGACATGGAGATGCAGCAACTCTTCATATACGAGTTGAACCACACCTTGCGACTCCGGAGTGTCTCCATGGCCTGGTCCTTCTTCACTTCTAGCATAGCCCTCTCGAGTTCCGCGACCTCAAACTTTGTCTTCCAATACTGAATACGACGATCCTGGTCAGCTAGCGCACTCTCGAGGTCTACTCAGCATGGAAACGACTAAGTCAAACTGCTCTTCTCTCTCGAGAATACAACAAATTTAGTCAATCCAGACAGAAGGGTGAAGGAGATGAAAACAAAAATAACCAACCTAAGGAAGTCGCTGCCACGCCCGTTTCCATGGGCGAACTTCGATCTACATTGCCCTGTAGCACATGTGACTCGAACGCAAGTGCTGGAACGATCGCTGGCAACTCAGGCTGCCCGCACTGCTGGACATCCTCGACATCAACGTCTCTACAGAAGACAACAAAGTACTCAAGATCACAATGCTAAAGAAAATTAAGGTGATGACTGCACGCACAAAGGCGGTTGGAACCAATTAGAGTTTTATACAGCATGTCTAATGAGTACGAGGGAGCCGAAATCCTACTCTTCAAAAAGCGGGAGGACAGACTCTCCCAGATCGCCAACTTCTTCTATCATATCCTTGCGCGCGTCGCTAGCCGCCCCCTGATCCAAGATCTTCTGGAGATCGAGTTCAGGGTGTGCCAGCCTCACACACGCGTGGACATGGTGTGCCCCGGTGTAGATCCCGTTGGACGTCTCCATCGCTGTCGCCAGTTCTGCAAGCGAAGACGTCAGCGAGAACTCGTCGGGATTTGTCGGGATGGTAGTCTTGACGCCACACTCCCCGGCGAGCTGGTGCAGACCGGTGTAGGTGACCCGTAGGGAGCCATGGATCTCCGACAAGTTGTTCTCAAGCTCCGACATACGATGCTCGAGCCCTTGTCGTTGTCGCTCATTGCCGGCCACCAACTCCCTCATCTTCTGGAGGTCCTCGCGAACCTCCACCAAATCACACGTCAGCCGATCGGCGCGCTCATTCGCCGACGACGCCGCTGCTGCCCTCGCCTCCGCGATCTCGCGGCTAATGCCGCGAGCACCAGCCTCGAGGAGGCGCCCCATCTCGACCTGGAGCTCCTTCCAGGTAAGGACGGCAGCCGGCGGACCCCGACTAGCCGTGAGATCACTGGCCGGCCCACTAGGCGTCGCCTCGCGGCTCCTGGGCACGACCACGACATTTGTCGAGGCCACAGCAGGAGACGCGCTGGAGGTTCCTCCAGACCCATCTTGCGTCGCCTTTGCCCGCGCCGCTCCGCGAAAGGTTGCAATTGAGACAGGCTACAAGAATTTGGCGAAGTGACAAAACCTCAAACTCATCCACTTACTTCTCGCCAAGTGTCACAAGCCGCTGCCGTCGCGGAGGCGGGGGAGACGCGTCCGAGGCCTGGAGTATAACGGGTATGATGTGAGGTGGAAGTTTTCCGAGTACGCGATGAGGGACCAGGAAAGCTTACCGAGGGAGTGGGTGTCTTCCAACGATTTCCGATCACGGAGGAGAATTTCCTCCCCCTTTTTGGAACGTAGCCGCCACTCGTTGTGGCAGCAGCGGCAGCAACATCGGACGCCTCCTTGGCGATGTCCTCCTTCAGCGATGCCGCCACCTGATGATCCACGAGCGGCCCGATGATGTCAGTCAGAGGGAGAGCCTACGCTTTATGAAGTCACAATGCGATCTTGGAATAAAAGTGCAGAAGGGCTGCCGAGTACACTTACATTGATGGCAGCTTCGCGTTCGGCTGCCCCCTTCTCGCTAAGGGGAACAAGGACGTGGCTTGCCGTTGTCGGGCCGCTGATAATCAACTAGCCCACACGGCGCTCAACGGCTTCGCTGCTCAGACCTGTGAATCGAGAACCAAAATTCGATAAGTCAGGAGGAACATGCACATAAGCAAGTCAGTGTAAATACAAGAAAAATACCCCGAGGAGAAACCCGGGTCGCGTCCTCCGGTCTAGAATAGTCAAAGGTTGGATGGGCTCGAGCCTGGAGTGGCTGGATCCGTCTACCAATGAAGTCGGCAGCGACTTCATACCTCGACAACCCCCGTACTCGAAGGTCATCAATGATATCAATGAAAGCTTGGAGGGATGGGGTCAAGGCGGGTTTTGCGGTCCAAGACGAAATCTTGTCTGGTTGTTCCTCAGGAACAACAAAGACTGGATCCAAATTTTCTATCTGAAGATAGAACCACCTCGCACGCCATTTGCTATGAGAAGGACACTGGAAGGGGATATAGCGCGACTTCAGGCCATCTCGGAGTCTGAAACCGGCACACCCGGATGCCCTGTTGGGTTCCATCCAGCGCAACTCATAGTAGAAATGAAAAAGGTTAAGAAACGGCTCTACCCCAATATAGGCCTCACAAAGATGCGAAAAAATGCTGAGGAAAGCGATAGAGTTGGGGCTCAAATGGAGCAAAGAAAGGCCGTAGAAATTCAAGACCAAAAGAAGAAATTCAGAAGGCGGAGGAAGAAAACCACAGAGAATGTAGTCCTCAATCGCAACCATGCGACCCAGGACAGGCTGGGGTTCAATACCTCCTGCTTCTCTCTCCATGGTCCCGTGACCGGGAAGGGTGCCATCCGCCTGTAGCTTCTTCAGCGACGCGCTGGTGGAGGTAGACTTGTCGAGATCCATCGCCGCCGGGGATCACCGGAGAAGGGACCGAGATGAACTAGCTAGGGTTCTTGCGGGAGCGGTGAAGACGAGGGATGCTTGGAAGCTGGAGAGTTTTTTTTTAACATGCGGACCTCAAATTGGATCCCCAAAACTCCCTTAAACCCCGATGGTGCGAATTCCAAGGAAAGGAGAGAGATGGTCGCCGGAAATTTCTGGGTCCGTTACATGCGGCAGTTTCTCGGACTTCAATTTAAATTCACTCATGACCGTTGAGCTTCACCCGGCGTTGTCGATCACTCCTCGTCTCTCGGTCATCACGCCAAGAACGACGACAACTTCGACATCAGAAGTCGCGATCGGTTTCACGAGTTCATATAAGCAGAAGTCAGGGGCTAGTGTCAGGGTTACGGGTAAGGTATACCCTCTACCCTTCGATATATGTCACGTATCGATATGGTATGCTCACGAGTATACGGACGTGCTCGGCATACGTTAAGGAAATTCATCATGGAGTTCACAGATGGAAGGAGTCCTATTTGGTCAGAACTGGGTTGTCATTGTGTCGTGTTCGGTCCGGCTTCTCCGAGTCCTACTTGGAGACAGTTGACCTGCGATATAAAAGGGACCCCCCGGAAGGACCTAAGGCATCGAATCTCAGAGCCAACACATCCACCACAGCCTACGAAGCCGGAGCTTATCGGAGCCAAGTCGTCGGAGATCTAATCGGATCAACTCGATTACGATCTCGTCGGTACCGTCGAGTTCCACTATTCCCTTTGTAATCTGTGGTTTCCATCATATAATTCCATATCAACTGGATTAGGGCTATTACCTACCAAGGGGTCTGAACCAGTATAATCTTTGTTTTCTGCCTGCTTGATGTCGTATTACATAGATCCTTGTACCAGCGTACCCTAATACCCTCTATATCCGGTCTACGGGTATCCCTGTCGACAATATTTATTTTGTTTTAAAAATATTGCTATGTATTTCTATAAATTTGGTCAAACTAAACATGTTGCTCGTCTACTATTTGCATCGCCAAGTACTCCCAACTTTCATGTCCAACAAATGAGATAGAATTATTTAACAAATTCAATTATTATATTTACATGCTATTTGGTATAGCTCTAGATCCGAAATTTCTTAAAGATGAATATCCATAACTCCATAAATCTATGGATCTGAATCTGCGATTACATTGATAATGGATGCATCATTTGTTTTTATTTTAATTGAAATATAAAAGTTTAAACCACTATAATTTAACATACAAACTTATCTAAAATTATGAGATGTGCCAAATATAACCTTAATTAAATTATTGTACCCGGAATTTGATTATTCTTTTTTCATTAGGACAGTGTACGATTTAAGTATCGTCACACAAGTGAAAGCGAGCAGACGATGTGGATGTGGACCCGCATCTCGTCCACGAGCTCGTCGTCGAGCGCTTCTGCGCGGCTCTGCACCCGGACGAACAGCTCGTCGGCGAGCTCCTTGCCGATGTGCGCTTCGACGAGCGGACCGAAGACCGATCGCTGGTTGTTCGCCACCGTGCGCCCGACCGCGCGGCGGTCGTGGGAGTCGTCGTCGTCGTCGTCCACGGCGAGAGGGCTTCCCATCACGAGCTCCAGCCGGTTGACCTCGAACGAGCCGTCGGCGTCGACGACCTCCCTGAACTCCTCCAGCGTCGCGGCGTACGACGGGACGTTGAAGCTGTCCATCCTCTCGCCGTCGATCAACCCCTCGCCGACGAGGTCGCGCCACGACTCCTCGAACATGGCGCCGAACTGGCTCAGGCTGCGGCCTTGGTCGGTCGGGCCGGCGGACGACGGGCGGCCGAGGAAGACCAGGAACATGGCGCCACCGGGCTTCAGCTCCGCGGCGCGGCAGCGCAGGAAGCGCGCCATGTCGGACTGGAACTGCCGCCTGTACGCCGCGCCGGTTTCCTCCGAGCCGCCGTGGACGAACACCTTCTCCTTGTTGTACGCCGGCGACCACTTGTCGGCGACTTCTTCCGGCACCTATGTAAATATGTAATCAAGCTCCTTGATTCTCATTTAGGTGAACACGCCTCGAAATCTATAATGGTGCGTTACCTGAGAGAGCCAGTGCAGGCAGAAGGTGGAGGTGAACACGTCGATAGATCGCTCCGGGAACAGACGGTCATGGAACGAGCCAGGCACGGCGGCGGCGAAGTAGTGCCGCCGCCCACGGCCGCCTTCGCCGGAGGAAGCGGCGCCGCGGTGCGGGAGGAGGCCGAAGAGGGTGTTGAAGTCGTTGCTCGGTAGGTCGGAGAAGTAGAAGCAGAACTCCGGATCAGCCGCGGCGTCGTCACCATGCTCGCCCTTGCCGCGACGACGACAGAGCTTGGTCATGTGCTGCACGATCGCATCGGCGACGACGAGCGTGTTGCGGCCGCATGAGCAGCCGAGGTCAGCCGCCGTCAGCAGAAGCCTCCCCGGCCCGTGGTGTGGGAGCACGACCTTGTCCAGTGTCTCCTCCAGGGCACGCAGCATCATTTGCAGGTTTCTAAACTGCATTTAGTTGCCATTTTCGCTCGATCAAGCACAGGGAAGCAACTTGCTAATGAAACATAATAGCCTCTGGTTGCATACTTGCATGCTGATTTTTTAAAAACTAAAGTTGAATGCTGAATTTGAACTTCAACAATTAATTCTTTACGTATAAAAAATAGAATTTGAACTTCAATTAATTGTTATAGCATTTAGGTAATTAATTTAGTTCTATTTGTTACCTGAACTTTACTGTTTTTGAGGTAACTGGACTCCCCTTGCCCACCCTTCATGCAGAAGACGTTCTTCATGTCCTGCGCTTGCATCTTATCTTGGTTCCACCGTGCGCACACTGCGGGAGTAGAGTTGATGGGGGCGTATATCTAATATATATAGTTGTCTCTGTCTCTGTCTCTCTGATGATACAGTTTTGTTGCTAAAGTCATTGACAAAAACTTCATGGCCTTGAAATTTCTGCTCTTTAATTTGCTTTGTCTGAAATGAAACTGCAAAAAAGGTTTTTGTGGTAAGAGTTGATAAAGAGAGAAGAAAGAGTGGCTGATATGCTGAGCTACAAAGTGGGAAGTTTCCTATAACTTATTTCGGCATGACAATTGATACAGGAAAAGTTGGAAAGTAGTTATATGGCGTGATTCAGAAAGTGGGGAAGAGATTTGATTCTTACAATTGGGAAAGCACCCATCTATTTTATTTTATTTGTTTTTTTTGGTGGGGGTGGGGAAGGCGAGGCGACTTTTTGATAAATTCTTACTACATTCATCCAAAAATACAAAAAAATTTAGGTTAGAACATAGTTATTATAAAAAAGTAGGTAAAAATAAATAGGAAAAGATTGTGATTGGTTGAGAAGATAAGTAGGTGTGAAAAATTAAGAGGTGAAAGGCTCTAATTGATTGAGAACATCACATGTTGTTGCATTCAAGTTTTCCAAATATACACCATAGGCTTCTATAAACTTCCAAGAGTATGCATAAGAAAGTGGACACAATAAAGGGGAGATTTTATAAGCAGGCACTAGGGAAAAGAGAAAAATATCATCTTTTAAATATAGTGCTTTAAGCGCACCAAAGGATTTTAGGGGATTTTTTTCTTTAAAAACAGATTGATGAATATTTGCTCGCTTACCAAATGGACTGTAAGACTAGAACATAATACAACGGAGACGTGCATAGAGTTATTGAGAAGTAAATATCTGCAAGAAATTTTTTTCTCAAAATTTAAGTTAAGACTTGGGAAACACAATTCTGAAAAGGATTATATAATTAAGGTAAAGAAGTTGGTAAGTCTATATATTGAAAAAAGTGATAAATAATGGGCACAATACACTTTTACGTTTATACAGGTGAGTTTACATGTGTTTATATATGCACCTACATCTATAATAGTGTTTAAAAAAATTGACATAAGAAGATAAGTTTGTGTAAGAGAGAAGGGATATTAAACTAGATTATATTTATAGGCAACCAGATTAGGCCAGCAACCATTTTATTTAAAGAAAGGTGATGATATGATTTTTTTTTTGTGAGATGAGATGCAGGGTAGATCAATTAACTATATATAGCGTGCGTGCATACATGCACGGTTGAACGGAACACCTTGACGTACGCCTAGCTACCTAACAATCTAACATGCATGAAAGATTGATTAATTTTGTCAACTGAACAGTCTCATCAGACAGTGTTTCAGGGTTGAACATTTCGGTTTAACAATTAATATTGGGTTACCGGAATTCTGAAAATTTTGGAAATCGGCCATAGGCAATCCAATATTCGTGCTTCAATTGACCCAATTTAGAGTTATAGACACTCCTCAAGTGATAACTAATACTTCTCGTGTCCCAAAATATTATAACACAATATTGGATGACATATATTTTCTTTAGATAATAGAATATAATTCCGGGCTTTGCTTAACGAGTTACAACCTACAGCCAAGGATGACACGTATATATCCTAATACACAGTGAATCTAGACAGAGATTTATCCGGATTCGTTATATTAAGATGTGTTACATTTAATTTTAAATTACTATATTTTGAAATGAAAGGAGTATCAAATTCTTCTCTGTACGGAGCCACCTCACTACACTTGCGTACGCCCAAGAAATAGATCGGTTTCAAAAACGTGATAGCTGCGGAATTTGGTGCTACAAAAGACCATGCATCGCACGTCCATTTCGGTCACGAGCACCAAATTAAAATACCCCCCGTCACGCGTGCCAAAAATTGATCAAACACACATGACGTGGGGGAACCACTCAACCGCGTTTCGGCCACGAACCCCTCGGCAATCGCTGCCGCGGAGAGCTGCTTCCTGACGAACAGATGAGGCGCTGAGCGTACCTCCATTTCTACTTCCGCGAGGTCGACATACGCCGTCACGGCCAACGCGACCGTATACGTACGTCGTCATCATCTCCAGCGGCACGCCGCACGCCCAGTCTGCATGCACGGCCGGTAGCTGACCATGACGTGCCCATGCATACATCACTCGGGCGTACATGTGTGCAGGATCGGAACTCGTCCATGTGTTTACCGACGGGAAACTGTTTTAAGAGCAGTGGACGTCTACCCATTTATTACATATCATCTAAATTATTTTTAAAAAAGTAAAAAAAATATAAATAAGATATATCAATATGTAATATATCAATCCACGACATGCAAGTTAAAATTCAACTTCTACAAATATAAAAAAATAACAAACAAAACTCAAATTACAATATGTATATATACAATTAAATTTGTTAATTTTGTTACAATTTGTAGAAGTTAAATTTGAACTTGCATGCTTGTAGAGTGATATATTACATATTGATTTATCTTGTCAAATTTTTTTTAAATTTTGTTCGTAACCATCTAATTGACATATAATAAACGGGTGAATGTTCACTTGAGCAATTAGAATTCATCTCCGTTGACCGACGGGAACGAACGTATTCGACAAAAATGGACTCAACCCGGGGTCGTGGCTGATCACCTCATTGCGGTGCACGTACGCGGTACGCGTCGCTGGACGAGTCGGGCCGGCTTCACGGCGCATGTAGGGCAGGCCTCTGGCCACGCTGCTGGGCCGCATCCGCGCGTTGGGCCCGTCGGAACAGAGGATCGGCAGGCTGTTCGCGCGCGGCTCCACACTTCCACGGACATCTCAGTTAAACTGTTTACTGCTGCTAATTTACTCTGGCTGGCTCGAAAAACTTAAAACGACTAGCGAAAAATATAAATTACTTCATTGTTGGCCCAAACAGTTTTATTCTTTCATAACGAAACAGGACATTATGACCAAGAGCTATAAAACTTTCCCGTAAAATACATCCAGTACGTCTTCATATTACACCGTCTATACGCACGTAATACCCGTCCGTCACGCCAGCGAAAGGGAACACACAATATGGGGGAAACGCATCTCGTCCACGAGCTCCTCGGCACGCGCTTCCGCGCGGCGCTGCATCCGGACGAAAATCTCGTCAGCCACCGCCCTGCCAACGTGCGCGTCGACGAGCGGCCCGAGGAGCGAGCGCACGTAGTTCGCAACCGCGCGGCGGTCTCTGATGGGGTCGTCCACAGCGAGAGGGCTCGTAATTACGAGCTCCAGCCGGTTGATCTCAAACAATCCGTCGGCGCCGACGGCCTCCCCAAACTCCTCCAGCGTCGCGGCGTACACGGGGACGTTGAAGCTGCCCATCGTCTCGCGCCCGATCGTCCCCTCCTCGACGAGGTCACCCCACGACTCCTCGAACATGGCGCCGTATAGAAGCTGGACGCGGCCTTGGTTTGTTGGGCAGGCGTGCAGTGACGGGCGGCCGAGGCAGACGAGGAACATGACGCCGCCGGCCTTCAGCTCCGTGGCGCGGCACCGCAAGAAGCGCGCCATGTCGGACTGGAACTGCCGCCGGTAGGCCGCGCCCGTCGCTTGCGAGGCCCCGTGCACGAACACCTTGTCCTTGTTGTACGCCGCTGACCGCTTGTCAGCAACACCTTCCGGGACCTGTGTTATTATTAAAGTTTAGGTTTTCTTGAGATGCTTTCTTCAGGATTATAAAATTTCTCCTAAACTTATTCTTCAATACGGTATACTTCGTGCATGGTAGAACGTGCAATCGATTCCAAGTTGAATGACAGGTTTGAATCAAATTGCAAGAGAAAATTAATCTTGGGCCGAAGACTAGATCTCTTGCAAGGTCAATAAAATATAATGATAAAACTCTTTCATCCATCTATTGTAGTAATATAAAGTAGAATGAGACGGGAAAATATTTTTATCCTTGTGAGGACATTTCTCGTTTCCCATATATCACCTAAATAGTTATTAGATTTTTTTTTAAAAAAATGATAAGATAGATACATGTGAAATATATCACTCCATAAGTATGCAAGTTTAAATTCAATCTCTACAAGTCGTAAAAAAATATAACGGTAAATGTATGTTAACTAGTTTCAGTTTAATTGGTTCTTTTATTATAACTTGGAAAAAAATAAATTTGACCTTGTATCTTGTTTTTTTTTTAAAAAAAGATGATTTAATAGGTGACACGTAAGAAACGAGAGATGTCTTCTCGAGGGATGAAAATCCATCTCCGAATGAGAAAACTTAGCTAACCTTATCATTATACGAGAGAGAGAGAGAGCAATCACGTAAGGAAAAAAAATAACCGAATTTAAGTGAAAAAAAAATGTGGCCCTACAGTTTTAGCAATCCTATAATAATAACGCAAATGAGTTGTGTAACAAACCCCAACTCTACTTTTTCAGTAAACAGCTCTGTGCAAAAATTGTGTGGGAAAAAACGATCTGCTACTTCACTATAACGATACGTACCTGTGAGAGCCAGTGCAAAGAGAAGGTGGAGGTGAACACGTTGATGGATCGCTTGGGGAACAAACGGTCATGGAACGATCCAGGCACCGCGGCAGCGAAGTAGCGCCGCTCACTGCCGTCGCCAGCAGCAGCAGTAGCGTGTTGCGGGAGGAGGTGGAAGAGGGTATTGAAGTCATTGCTGGGGAGATCGGAGAAGTAGAAGCAGAATTCTGGATCAGCGGCGTCACCGTCATCTTGGTCGTCGAAGATGCAGCTGCGCAGCTTTCTGGTCATGTGTTCGACGATCGCATCGGCGACGATGAGCGTGTTATGCCCGCAAGAGCAGCCAAGGTCGGCCGCCGTCAGGAGATGTTTCCCCGGCCGGCGAGGGAGCTGGACCTTGTCCAGTATCTCCTTGAGGGTTGGCAGCATCATTTGCAGGTTTCGAGACTGCACATTGCCAGTTTAATTTGGCTCGATCAGGCAAACTGAAAACACCTTAGTAACAAAACTAAAAAAAAATACTCTAAATAACCTCCAGAGCAGCTGAATTTGAACTTACTATGACTTGTGCTAAATAGGTATGTAACCCAGCATTTTTGTTGTTGTTTTACCTGAACTTGGCTGTTTTTGATGTAACTCGACTCCCCCTGTCCACCCTCCATGCAGAAGACGTCCTTCATCAACACTTTTTGCATCTTGAATTGATGAATTCACAGCATAACAACAAAAAGGAGGTATGTGTATGCGTATATAGCTAGTTCCTGGATCGGCAGCACAACAAGAAAATGGAGGTATATGTGTATGCGTATATAGCTAGTTCCTGGATCAGTAGGTAGATGGCTAGCTCAGATAGATCATCACCTGATGAGCTGGGATCACCTGATGCGTATATCTGCGATGACGCGCGGTACGTGGGTGGCCGGTGGGCTGAGCGCACATGAATCAACATGCAACGGAAAGCTGGTTGATGCGACCGTACGGCCAGGCACGGGCACCTAAACTCATGTAACACATGTACCTAGGGGGCTGACTTCGGGCGCCTAATCTCATGTAACACATGTACCTAGGGGGCTGACTTTGGGAGATGGAGTTAGTTCTACCTCCATGAATATAAAACGGTGTTACCTATTAACGTGTGATTAATTAATTTTTTTTACGGTTAAAACAGCAAGAGAGGCTCCCCTACTGTAATATATTACCCCTACTGCAATATATTAATAAGTAGTAGTTAATGTACATGAGAAATATTTACAGATGGTGGGGGAAGAATCAGGGAGAAAGAAAAGGAAAACTTTAAAAATAGATTGATATGACTTTTAAAGCAACTTTTCTGTAGTAAACTTTTGTAAAAAATGCACAGTTTACAAGTTTAAAAGCGTGCGCGTAAAAAGAGAGAGTGGTGAGTTGGGAAAGAAAGGAGAAGAACACAGCCGTCGACCACTGAACATCGTATTGTCCTTGTATGTGATATTTGATTGACCAATTGAACATTACAGTATATTGCATTCCAACGGTAATAACCGATTCTTTTACAACCCTACCCGCTACTTAAATATTTTTAGATAAAAATATATAGAAATTGAGCCTAATTCATTTTAAATTCAGCCCTTAATTTTTTTTAGGCTAAAGAGTTGGGTCCGCTATCAACCCGTCCTGTTAATGTGCGGTTACACCCCAAGTTCACGCTTAAGTATATATCACAATTAGGCTATCAAATTTGGATGCCAAATAATACTAATTAACGACTCAATTAAGCTCGCCCAGTATTTGTATCGCAACTACTCAAATGTTCACGGCTTAAGTGTTTTTTTCAAACGTTCGCGGCTTAGTTGGCCAAATAATGTTCACGGTCTACTCTAGTTCACTTCGATAAATTACAAGGTGCCTAATTTTATAGGAGAACAAGCACTTTTATTTGGATGACTTTTAGGGACAGTTTAGCTGGCACCCACAACTTACTTAATGTTGTCATATCTCTTAATTAAGTTAGACAAGTTTAATTGAGGTAGATGATTGTTTAGTTTATAACGACATTTATGGTAAGATTTATTCTTCATTACATAGACCATATACGCTAGCTAAAGGGTGGTTCTAATTTTATTAGTCATGCCTTAGACAAGTTAGCCAAAAATATGTGTCAAACTTGGGTAAATTGAAGTACCCAAACAAAAGGCCGTTTATTATGCCTAAAACAATGAAGAGTTTTATATCCAGGAAGATCGGCTAATATATGGGGCCTAAATTTTATAAGACAACTAACAATTTTATCCAGAATAACTTTTATTATGCTCAAGATACGAAGAGTTCCACATAAAATAGACTCAGTTTTCATATAAAGACCGTCCAATAATACATTCGTAAATTCCATTACGCCAGTGAAAGTGAGCATAGAATATGGGGGAAGCATATTTCATCCATGAGCTCCTCGGCACGTATTTCCGCGTGGCGCTGCATTCGGATGAATAGCTCATCAGCCATCACCCCGCCGATGTGCGTGTCGATGAGTAGCCCGAGGAGGGCGCGCACGTAGTTTGCCACCATGCGCCCGGCCATGCCGCGGTCAGCGGGATCATCCACGACAGGAGGGCTTGCCATCACGATCTCCAACTCGTTGATCTTGAACGAGCCGTCGGCGTCCACAACCTCCTTGAACTCTTCCACTGTAGGAGCATAAAGGGGGACATTAAAGCTGTCCATCTTCTCGCCGTCGACCATCCCCTCTTCGATGAGGTCACGCCATGAGTCGTCGAACATGACGCCATACACTTCATAGATGTAGCCTTGATCCGTGGGGCCACAGGTGGACGACAGGCGGCCAAGGCTGACGATGAAAATGGCACCACCAGTCTTCAGCTCGGCGGCGCGACAGTGTAGAAAGCGCATCATGTCAGACTGGAACTGTCGCCGGTATGCCGCGCCCGTCTCCTCAGAGGCACCATGCACGAACACCTTACCTTTATTGTATGCCGGTGATCGCTTGTCGGCGACTCCCTCTGGCACCTGTGTAATAATTAAATCATTTAAACTTCTTCACTTAGTTCCTTGCATTTAAGGGCGGTTAACAAGCTAACTCGAACCCATAGCTTAACTGCCAAAAATTGGTTAAGTTATGAGCCGACTCACTCAACGGGTTAAAGATGAGCCCAGCTCAGTTTGCTAAGAAATTCGAGAAGACTCATTAAAACCATTAAACTTGCTACGACGCAATACATGATTTTAAATTTGGGATTTGCTATTTGTAATTTGACATAAATTTTGGGAGAAAATTAATATATCAAATTGTTGGCCATTTCCGATGGACTTCAAGATCTGTGCACGTTGGATGGGTTAAAGATGAGCTCAGCTCAGTTGGCTAAGAAATTCGAGAAGGCTCATTAAAACCATTAAACTTGCTACGACACAATACATGATTTTAAATTTGGGATTTGCTATTTGTAATTTGACATAAATTTTAGGAGAAAATTAATATATCAAATTGTTGGCCATTTCCGATGGACTTCAAGATCTGTGCACGTTGGTTGGGGTAAAAACCAAAGCGTATTGCGTGAGGTGGGCGTCGATCGAACTCGCAACCATGCACCAGCAGCTCCTGCGTGCGTCTCCCTACTGAGCTATAGTGCCACACTGCCACTTTTATTTTATTGTTTACGTACCACTTAAGGGAGCCGGTGCCACACAACTTGGTCATGTGGTCGACGATCACGTCCGCGATGAGGAGCGTATTGTGGCCGCATGAGCATCCCAGGTCGGCGGCCGTCAGTAGCGGCTTTTTCCCCGGCCGGTGACGAGGGAGCTGGATCTTGTCCAGCGTCTCCTCAAGGGCGTACAGCATCATTTTCAGGTTTCGGGACTGCACCGGCAGTTTTGATTTGCTCGATCAGGCGTAGCAATCTTACTAGGTAATTAATAGCCACCTCTGATTGCATACAGTTATGCTTGTATTAATTAGGTAATTAGTCTAGCTTAATTTGTTAATTACCTGAGATTGGCTGTTGTTGATGTAACTGGACTCGCCCTGGCCACCCTCCATGCAGAAGACGTTCTTGATGTCCTGCTGCTGCTCTTCTATCTTGATCGAATTCACCGCACGACGGGAGAATGGGGGTGTATATCCGTGTATGTGTATAATTTGTTCTTGAGTAATTAGTTGGATCGAGCTGGCAAAGCTGTACTGTATCGATCGCATATATAACTTGCCACGATGAAACCTTTAGCCTTTTTTTTTTTTACTGAACACATCAACATTCAACGCTTCCTTTTTGGTTTGTTGACCCCGAATATGAAGTCATTTTTTATCAGTGGGATATAAAGTCATTTTAATGAGGGTCCGTAGTACATAGAATTTGAACGAACCCTTATGGCCATATGGTTGATGGTAAAAATCAGGAGTAGAGCAAAAAAAAGGAAAAGATGACTCGCGCATGGTACAGACAAGGTCGCGCGGTGGCCGGTGGTGTGAGAACTCTGACGAACTGAAGCCATGATTGAACGCTGGAAGGGAAGGCAAGTTCAGTTACCCAATGGCTGGGATTATTCGATAACGCTTGGGCTGGAGATTATGAAGATCGGACGATGGAGATGAGCTTGGACCGTCTACAGCACACCCCTGTTGCCGTACTGTTGACATCATCTCTTTTGTCTTGTATTAGCGAGTCCCTTTATAAGCTAGTGCCGCCGCAATGTCTGTATCGAACAATTGAACCCTAATTTACTTTACTCTTGTCTTGCGGCGCCCATCTATTTCCTTGTACTGTGTACTCTTCAATTCAGTGCAAATCCTTCAATTTAATCCCATTAGGATAGCTACTTAAGCCTCTTTTCTCTGAAATTGTTCTTGTCAAGCTCTGAATCTGGCCGGGGCTTGACAAATGGTATCAGAGCATGTGATTCTTGGCCTCCACCTCTAGATCTGAGAGTCCAAGCGGGTAAGGGTTGGGGAAACAAGTATTCCCTGTAAAATTCCGGAGCCTGGCTGAGGAATCAGAGTAGAGGTGGGATCTGTGACACTGCAGAGAGGGTTGGAAGAGACCTAGGTTTTCTTCTGTAAAATCTCCAGATCTGCTCTGTCAACATGGTGCGTGGTGCTCGGACTGCGGAAGAACCTGTGTTGGAGGAGGTGCAGCCTTGGGAAATTGCAGTTGAGGAGCTCAGGGTGCACCTGCAGGATATCCAACGGAAGGTGGACGAAGATGGGAAGCAGTTTCAAGAACAACTGCAGAACCAGGCCGTACAAGCTCAAGTCCACAAAGATGAGGTAATGCAGAACCTAAAGGTAATTCAAGATATGCTCAGTACTTCATCTAGCTGCAATGGACAAGAGGTTAAGGGAACACCCAGAACTCCTGGAGTAGCTCAGTCTGTAATTGGAGGAAAAAAACCTGAAACCTTTGCTGCTGGTCCTAGTAAACACCCACTGTTTGATTTCAGAAATATGTCCAATTCACCAAATCAGGAGAATATTGAGATGACTATGACACCCAGCTTAGTTACTACACTACCCTTACCACCACCTCCACCAAACCACATTCCTACAACAGATAGAAATGCCTCAGTTTTTTTTAACACAAGCACCATACCACCACCACCACCACCACCACCACCACACTTTCCCCAGCCACCTCAATACACTCCACCTAACCAATTCTTTCCCTATCAGCCACAATATCCCTATCAACCACATACTCCCTTTCCGGTTCCTTGGGATTACCACTACTACCCAAACCCACCACCTCATGTACCCCCTATATCATCTACACCTACTCACTTCTGGGAAGGGGGACATGGTGCTCATCCTGAACCATACCACCAACCATACAATCCTTATTACCACCAAGAACCATTCCACCCACCCCACCACCACCAGTACAATCCTGAACCACACCACACTAACTATGCACACCGGCCACACTCTGCAGACCCTGCAAAACGTTCTCGAAATGTCGATTTTCCTACCTTTGAGGGTGATTATCCAGAGTCTTGGATACGCAAGGCCGAAAAATACTTCTCTTTGTATCAAACTCCTGAAGAAGACAAAGTTTTGCTAGCTGAAGTGCATATTTCAGGAAGAGCTGATCAGTGGATTGAAAGTTCAGCTGTTCCCACTGCTTCTCTTTCTTGGCCTGAATTCAAAACCATGGTGTGTCAACGCTTTGCGGCTAAATCCAAGATTGAAATTACTGAAACCTTCAGAAATTTGAAACAGTATGGCTCTGTTGACAGTTATATTGATAAATTTGAGGAAACTATGGCCTTAGTTAAACGCAGCAATCCTACACTGACTGAGGATTACTTCTTGGATTATTTTATTTCTGGACTCAAGGACCATATTAAAAGACCTCTGAAGTCTCTCTCAATTTACTCCCTGGTGACTGCTTATGAACATGCTCGCAACTATGATGTTATTCCTCGCTCTGCCAACACCTCTTCTATTCCTTCCAACAGAGAGACTCCCAAAATTCCACCAAAGCATCCTACCAAGGATGACAAGCAGTCCACTGTCACTCATACAAAATTTTCTGGCAAGTGTTTCCGTTGCAACGAACCCTGGGTTCCAGGACACGGCAGAGTCTGTAAAGCTACCAAGCAAGTCTATTTGGTCACAATGGAGGATGAGTCTGAAATCCTAGATGATGCAGCTTACTCTACTCCTCCTGATAGTCCACAGAAGACAGATCAGCAGGATACACATCTGTTATTACACTCCCTGGAGGGCATCACTCCTGCTGCTACTACCTTTACACTACATGTTCTATTGGGTACCATACAGGCCACAGCCTTAGTTGATAGTGGTAGTACCACTACATTCATCTCTCCGAAGATAGCAAGTAAAGCTGGGTTACATATGGTTAATCATGCACCTATACCAGTCAGAGTGGCTAATGGCAGTATTTTGAATACAGGGACCGTTTGCTCTCAGGTTCCTTATTCTATTCATAATGTCTCTTTTATCTCAGACTTCAGATTGTTGGATCTTAAAGGCTTTGATATCATCTTTGGCTGTGACTGGATCTCTCAGCATAGCCCAATCACCATTGATCTTAAGACTAGAGCATTGACAATACATCACAATGGGCTGCAGTCACTAACCTTTCCTGATATTACTGCTCCTCGATCCAATATCCTTCTCACAGCTGATAACTTGCAGAAAATGTTGCACAATGATATATTAGGTGCCGTGGTGTACCTTCCTTATCCACAATGTTCTGCACTTGCTCTAACTGCAACAGCACCAGAGGTAACTCAAGTTTTGGAAAAATTTTCAGATGTCTTTGCTGAACCTACTCAGTTGCCTCCCTCTCGTGACTGTGATCATACTGTACCATTACTCCCAAGTGCTAAACCAGTCAATGTAAGGCCCTATCGCCTTCCTCGTCACAAGAAAAATGCCTTGGAAGAGCTAGTACAGCAATTGCTGAATTCCCAAACCATCAGACCAAGTATGATCCATACTCTTCCACTCCATTCTGGTCAAGAAAAAGGATGGTTCATGGCGCCTTTGTATTGATTACCGTCAACTTAATGCTACCACAGTCAAAAACAAGTATCCCATTCCAGTCATTGAGGATCTCTTAGATGAATTACATGGGGCTCAATACTTTTCTAAAATTGATTTGCGCTCAGGTTATCACCAAATCAGAATGCACCCAGCTGACATATATAAGACAGCCTTTAGCACACATATGGGCCACTTTGAGTACTTGGTGATGCCTTTTGGACTGACAAATGCACCAGCCACCTTCCAAGCTCTGATGAACAGCATTCTGGCCCCTTATTTGCGCAAATTTGTTTTGGTTTTCTTTGATGACATTCTCATATATAGTCCATCCCTATCTGACCATGTCACTCATGTCGAATTGGTTTTGCAACTTTTGAGACAGCATCATCTTTCAGCCAAACCAAGCAAGTGTGTTTTCGGCCAGTCACAAGTGGAATATCTCGGTTATATTATCAGTAATGCAGGGGTGGCAATTGATCCTACCAAAGTGCAAGCTGTAAAAAATTGGCCTGTACCTAAATCTGTCACTGATCTCAGCGGATTCTTAGGTTTGGCTGGTTACTATCGGAAGTTCATTAAAGATTTTGGTCTTATTTGCAAACCATTATTTACTGCCTTGAAGAAAACTGGATTCACTTGGCAAGATGAGCAGCAACAAGCCTTTGCAACAATCAAGGATAAATTGGCTCATGCGCCAGTCCTTGCAATGCCTAATTTCACTCAACCTTTTATACTGGAAGCAGATGCTAGTGGTACCGGCCTGGGTGCTGTCTTGATGCAGAACAACCGACCCTTGGCATATTTTAGTAAAGCAATTGGCCCTAAGGCAGCTGGACTCTCTACTTATGACAAAGAAGCATTGGCTATATTGGAAGCATTAAAAAAGTGGAAGCATTATTTCTTGGGCACTTCTCTGATTATTCGAACAGACCAAGCAAGCCTCAAATACATTAATGAGCAACGCCTTACAGAAGGGATTCAACATAAATTGCTAATCAAGCTCCTCAGCTACGATTACAAAATAGAGTACAAGAAAGGCAAAGAAAACAAGGCTGCTGATGCATTATCTCGCATACCTTCTGTTGCTCAGTTGTTTTCTACCACGATAATTGTTCCTACTTGGATCACTGAGATCCTGGCCAGTTATGCAACAGACCCAAAATGCACAGCATTGGAATCTCAGCTGCGAATCACTCCTCAGGGCCATCCTCCTTATACTCTGACTAGTGGCATCTTGCGATATAAGAATCGTCTCTATGTGGGTGCTGGTACTGATTTGAGAGCAAAGTTACAGCAATCTTTTCATGATTCTGCTCTGGGGGGTCACTCAGGTGAAAGAGCAACCTATCAACGCGCTAAGTTACTTTTCTATTGGCCAGGCATGAAGAAGGATATTGCCTCATATGTCAAACTCTGCCCAGTTTGTCAGAAAAACAAGTCTGAACATAATCTGCAGCCTGGGTTACTTCACCCTCTACCAATCCCTGAGATGGCTTGGACACACATTTCTATGGACTTCATTGAAGGCCTCCCTAAATCTGATAACAAGGATGTCATTTGGGTCATTGTGGACAGGTTTACCAAATATGCTCATTTTGTTGCACTTAGCCATCCATTCACAGCTGACCAGATAGTTACTCAATTTGTGGAAAATTATTACAAGCACCATGGTCTTCCGGCAGTTATTGTCAGTGACAGAGATAGAATTTTCACTAGTCAAACTTGGAAGGATGTTTTTGAGAAAGCCGGGGTAAAACTACATTTTAGTAGTGCCTATCATCCCCAAACGGATGGACAGACTGAAAGGGTCAACCAGTGCCTGGAGAATTATCTTCGTTGTATGACATTTACTAAACCTAAGAAGTGGAAATCACTGCTGGCCTATGCTAAATGGTGGTACAATACATCCTTCCACACTACCTTGGGCATGACTCCTTACCAGGCACTACATGGGGTCCCACCTCCCTTGCTAGCTGAATCCTTCCTATCTCCATCTCTTTTCACTGATGCTCGTAACAAGGCAGAAGCAAAATCTGTTATTACTGCTGCTATCAAGTCTAGCCTCCTCAAAGCACAAGCGCGTATGAAGCACTTTGCTGATATGAATCGCACTGAACGAGTCCTGACTGTCGGCGATATGGTTTATCTCAAAATGCAGCCTTACCGTCACAATTCCTTGGGGTTACATTCTTCCTTGAAATTGCATTCTAAATACTATGGCCCGTTTCGTGTTTTGGAACGCATTGGCTCAGTGGCTTACAAATTGCTGTTACCGGCATCCTCCCAAATCCATCCAGTCTTTCATGTGAGCCAACTGAAGAAACACATCGGTCCAAAAGTGGTTCCTGAACCTGGCCTCCCACTCACTGATGATAACGGTAACATTCTTTCCCAGCCAACGGCTGTTTTGGAACGCAGGCTGATTCCTCAAAACAATGCACCTGTGGTTCAATGGAAAGTCCAATGGGCGAATCTACCTCTTTCTGCTGCAACTTGGGAAGATGCTGCTTTCATATCCAAAGTGTTTCCTGCTTTTAACCCATGAGGACATGGGTGCTTAAGGGGGGGGGCATTGTGAGAACTCTGACGAACTGAAGCCATGATTGAACGCTGGAAGGGAAGGCAAGTTCAGTTACCCAATGGCTGGGATTATTCGATAACGCTTGGGCTGGAGATTATGAAGATCGGACGATGGAGATGAGCTTGGACCGTCTACAGCACACCCCTGTTGCCGTACTGTTGACATCATCTCTTTTGTCTTGTATTAGCGAGTCCCTTTATAAGCTAGTGCCGCCGCAATGTCTGTATCGAACAATTGAACCCTAATTTACTTTACTCTTGTCTTGCGGCGCCCATCTATTTCCTTGTACTGTGTACTCTTCAATTCAGTGCAAATCCTTCAATTTAATCCCATTAGGATAGCTACTTAAGCCTCTTTTCTCTGAAATTGTTCTTGTCAAGCTCTGAATCTGGCCGGGGCTTGACAGGTGGGCGTGTGCACCGTGGGTCCATCGATGCTACGCTAGCTCTCAATGGCCCAGTTGACCTAGTAATGTTCACGGCTAGATCGCTTTTTTAAAAAAGGTTTTTTTTAAAGAAGGGTATACGTAGTCTTTTTAAATTAAAAATTTAGCGCTTCAAACAACCTATCTAAAATTTGTTTCTATGGAAATTTAAAATCATGACATTGAGGTGCTATTTAGGTCATTGTAACGACTATAGAAATTTGGATTAGGAAGACGGTGGGATGGCGGCTTCTTCAGGGTTTGAAAATAAGATGATAAGGATGCTTGGGGTGATCCGTTTACTATCACACCGGATCACGTGTTTATTTAAGGCTTGTTTGGAGGACTGATATTTGGGCCAAACCAATCATGGTCTTTGATCAATTCTAGCAGTGCACCCACAATGACAATCCTACACAGAGCTTGAGAACAAATAGGAAGGCGTTCAAATTTCACTCTATAGTCCTGTTATACCTTGTAATTCTGGGGGCTCAATATTAAATCTTCAAACCTGTTGGAAATCCCCTTCTTCATTGCGTTAATTTTCGTTGTTGTGGCCATTGCGGTGTGCTGACCCGTCAGCGGCGCCCGGGGGGGGGGATTTAGCAGCTGGTTTTGCTGCCTTCCGGTTGCTCGTCTCGGTGGCCCTCGGATCGTCATCCAACAGTCGTTTCGGCCCCTCGTCTTGCTGCGGCGTCTGGCATCCGTCCGTCAGATCACGATCCAAAGCTAACTCATTCTCTGCTTGTTTCCCCGTTTTTTGACAAATTGACCCTTTTCAAAAACTTATTTCGAAACTAACCCCTGCCAAAAACTTCAACCAAAAATAGGCCGTTTGCTCAGCGCCAATACGCTTGGCGCTGAGGTTGGGCGTGGCAGCTACCTCAGCGCCAACCGCATTGGCGCTAAGATGGCGAATCTCTGCGCCAACCGCGTCGGCGCTGAGGTGCCAAACTTCAGCGCCAACGGGCCTGGCGCTGAGGTTTGGTACTTAGAGGCCGGCCGAAGCCGCCCCCAACCAGCCTCTCCTCTATTCTCCCCCACCGCGCGCTAGGGTTCGTCGCCCTCTCTTCTCCCCTCACCAAATCTCCCCCAAATCCACTCAAATCGAAGGGGATTTCGTCGGGATTGATTTGGGGATCGATTGAGAAGGTAAACTCCTCTAGAAACTCTAATTTCCCCCCATGTTTTATTGGATATTTCGCATTGTTTTGGTTCCAACCGTGGTTTGATAATTATTGGCTCGGATTGGGATGTTAATTGGATAATGTGGGTGGGGATGTAGTGCGGAAGATACATATTAATCTTGCTCCATTTGGTTCATGTTGATTTGTGGGTGGGGATGTAGTGCGCTGACCTTCCTAGTCTCAGCGCCATTTCCGCTGGCGTTGAGGTCCTCCCCCCCTCACGCAAGCCAGACAGAAGGCCTGCTGGGTCGGGACTCGGCCGAAAAGGCTAAGTCCCACCTCAGCGCCGACGGGTGGGCGCTGAAGTTAGCCAGCTCAGCGCCGATGTGCTTGGCGCTGAGGTAGATGCCACGTCGGCGGGGGGATCGGCTCGGCCGCCACGGTGGCACGAGGTCAGCGCCATGACCTTTGGCGCTGACACGCCCAACCTCAGCGCCAATGAGCTTGGCGTGGAGCCGACAGTTTATTTTTTGTTGAAGTTTTTGGTAGGGGTTAGTTTCGAAATAAGTTTTTAAAAAGGTTCAATTTGTCAAAAAAAAAAACGGTTGTTTCCCTTCCTGCTCCGGCTCCCGCGCAATCCCGCGATGGCAATGCAAAAGCCTTCGCTTCTACTTCCACGAGATCTACGTGCGGCGGCACACCCAACGCATGCATGACGCGCCCCTGCATGCATACATATCACCTCAGTCGTACAGGATCGGAACTCGTACAGGCCAAATAATGTTCACGGTCTACTCTTTAGGTACTGTTTAGTTGACACCCACAACTTACTTAGTGTTGTCATATCTCTTAATTAAGTTAGACAAGTTTAATAGATGATTGTTTAGTTCATAACCATATTTATGGTAAGATTTATTCTCCATTACATAGTCCACATATGTCATTGAGATAAAAAAGTGTGGCAGGAGTGCCTCATGCTAGCTAACGAGTGGTTCTAATTTTATTAGTCATACCTTAGACAAGTTAGCCAAAAATTTGTGTCAAACTTGGGTAAATTGAATTACCCAACCAAAAGGCCGTTTATTATGCCTAAAACAATGAAGAGTTTCCCACGAAATATATCCATTAAGATCGGCTAATATATGGGGCCCAAATTTTATAAGACAACCAACAATTTTATCCAGAATAACTTTTATTATGCTCAAGATATGAAGAGTTCCACATAAAATAGACCTAGTTTTCATATAAAGACCATCCAATAATACATTTGTAAATTCCATTACACCAGTGAAAGCGAGCATAGAATATGGGCGAAGCACATTTCATCCACAAGCTCCTCGGCACGTATTTCTGCGCGGCACTGCATCCGGATGAACAGCTCGTCAGCCATCGCCCCGCCGATGTGCGTGTTGACGAGTGGCCCAAAGAGGGCACGCATGTAGTTCGCTACCATGCGCCCGACCACGCCGCGGTTAGCGGGATCATCCACGACGGGAGGGCTTCCCATCACGAGCTCCAACTGGTTGATCTTAAACGAGCCGTCGGCGTCCACAGCCTCCTTGAACTCCTCTACTGTAGCAGCGTAAAGGGGGACGTTAAAGTTGTCCATCTTCTCGCCATCGACCATCTCCTCTTCGATGAGATCACGCAATGAGTCCTCGAACATGCTGCAATACACTTCATAGATGTAGCCTTGCTCCGTGGGGCCGCGGGTGGATGATAGGCGGCCAAGGCTGACAATGAAAATGGCACCACCAGGCTTCATCTCGGCGGCACGACAGTGTAGAAAGCGCATCATGTCAGACCGGAATTGTCGTTGGTATGCCGTGCCCGTCTCCTCAGAGGCACCATGCACGAACACTTTACCTTTGTTGTATGCCGGCGATTGCTTGTCGACGACTCTCTTCGGCACCTGTGTAATAATTAAACCAATTAAACTTCTTCACTTATTGCTTACATTTAAGGGTGGTTGATAAGCTAACTCGAACCGTAGCTTGACTGCCGAAAATTGGTTGAGTTAATGAGCCGACTCGCTCAACTCGTTAACATAACAAGTTAAAAATGAGCCCAGCTTAGTTCGCTAAGAAATTCGAGTAGACTCATTGAAACTATTAAACTTGCTACGACGCAATACATCTTTATTATTATAAAAATTGAAGACGTTTTTGCCGGTACTTTAGTACATCATCTGTGTATAAGTCGGTTTTCAAGTTCGTTCACTTTTGGAAATACATATTATTATTTGAGTCGTTTATTATGTTTGCTTTTGGAAACACAGAAGAGTCATATAAGAAATCTTTGTAAAAAAAACTCGTATGCTAACTTGAGGCGATCGGACTCTAATTACAGCTCATGATTTTAAGCGAATTCTAATAGTGAATTTCACCTTAATTAAACTGTATAACAATAATAAAATTAAAATAGCTTTCACCCGCCGCAACGCACGGGTATTTTTTCTAGTGATTTTAAATTTAGGATTTGCTTTTTATAATTTGACATAAATTTTGGGAGAAAATTAATATTTTATATTGTTCGTCATATCCGATGGGCTTTAAGATCCCTGACCGTTGGATGGGTTAAAAACCAAAGCGTATTGCGTGAGGTGGGCGTCGATCGAACTAGCTCGCAACCACCAATAGCTCCTGCGTGCGTCCCCCTACTGAGCTAGTGCAACTTTTTTTTTTATTTACATACCGCTTACTTCCTCTGGTTCTATATTAATTGATGTTTTTGACAAGGTTGAGGTTAAACTTTTATAACTTTAACCATCAATAACTTTAAAAATATTTAGTTTAAAGAAACTAGAAAAACATATATAGATTTGTCTTTTCAAAACACTATAATAAAAGTAAACATGCATTTATTTATTGTATATATTATAATAGAAAAATAAGGTCAAAAGTATATCTTGTAGAGCGTGTCATTGTCCAAAGCATCAATTAAAATGAAACTGAAGGGAGTATATTCTAGGTACATGTGTACTTACATTGTTATTGTACTATAATGTATCGTATTAATTTACATTTTAAATTTTTTTGGGGGAATTTCTATAGAACGTTAGATAGATATATATACTCCCTTTAAATTTACATTTGGTATGATTTATAGGCCTATGTAATTGGAGTTATGGCCGACGTGCTATGTATCATGACAATATAAGGTTGTACTATAATAAGTGGTTTGTGAGCTGCTTGTGTCATACGTGACACTATCTAGCATGTGGAGTGGACTTTTAATTTCAACACGTCACAAGCTAAACGAGCTACACAAGTAACTCACAAATTAGCTCAAGGTAGCTGACTAAGCAAATGATCGAAATATTGAACTTAATGATCCTACTCGATCATTAACTGCTCGAGTCAAAACCTGAATTTTACCAGTCGAGTAGCTCACTTTGATCCCAACCATACTTAACTACATGTATAACGTGCAAGAATTTTTCTCAGATTGAACAACACATTGAAATCAATATAATCCATATTCATTAGTAACACAAACGATTTTCTTTTCTGTACTATCTTCCTAATTTAACACATATTTTCATTAGTAACACAAACGTTTTTTTAATTTTCAGTAGTACTTGTGTGCTATCCCTTCTTTTTTTAAAAGAAAAAAATTGCGTTCGCAAAAGAAAATGTTTTTTTTAATTTCACTGTGAAAATCTTGAATACACACGCTCAGAATCCTACGTTCACACCACTGATTGGAAACTGAAGCAAAAATTGTATACATATCAAATTCTACTGAAAAGATGTACAATATATTTATCTCCACGCAAAATTGGGTGAGAAGATATGCTAGTTAGTCTGAAGATCAACACAAAATGGAGGATTCATTGGGGAAACTATTTTGATTCCTCAAAGGGGATGTCCCTCATTTACTTCAAAACCATCTAAACGGTTATGAAAAATTCTGGAAAAAATTGGCAACACTCATACTATATATCTATACAACTCCACAAAATCTTAAATCCAAACTCAATTCACACGTTGAGATTTAAAAAAAGACAAATTTAGTATATGAATAGTAATATAATGTTCATATCTGAATTTGTCTTTTTTTTTCTCGATATGTAGGTCGAATTTGAAATTTATTTTTGGTGGACTAGTAGATATCGCTATACTCTATATTGTCAATTTTTTTTAAAATTTTTCACAACCATTTGCATCGAATTTAAAAGAAAAAGGTACACGAGGGGATATCTCCCCTCGACGGATTAGAATCTACTCCCGATTCATTATGATTAATTTGATGTACTCTAAAAAAAACCTAAACTGTATATTATACAGCGTACCTGTGAGAGCCAGTGCAATGAGAAGGTGGAGGTGAACACGTTGATGGATCGCTCGGGGAACAGGCGATCATGGAAAGAGCCAGGTACGGCGGCGGCGAAGTAGCGCCGGCTCTGCCGCCCATCTCTGCCCGCGGCAGCAGCTTGCTGTGGGAGGAGGTGAAATAGGGTGTTGAAGTCGTTGCTCGGGAGGTCGGAAAAGTAGAAGCAGAATTCCAGGCCGTCGTCGTCCTTGCTGCCGAAGGATTTGTCGGTCATGTGGTCGACGATCACGTCCGCGATCAGGAGAGTATTTTGGCCGCATGAGCATCCCAGGTCGGCGGCCGTCAGTAGCGGCTTGTTCCCCGGACGGTGACGAGGGAGCTGGATCTTGTCCAGTGTCTCCTCAAGGGCGTACAGCATCATTTTCAGGTTTCGGGACTGCACCGGCAGTTTTACTTTGCTCGATCAGGCGTAGCAATCTTACTAATACTCTCCGTCCCAAAATATAATTACTTTTAAAATAATGCTAAGTCAAACATTTTCAACTTTACTATTAATCACTAAAAATAAAAAAGATCAATCATTTAAAATTGATATTACTAGATTAATCATTAAACAAGCTATCATAATATGCAACTCTTTTTATTTAAAAAATCTTAACTTTATAGATATTTGTTAGTTAAAATAGCATCTCGAAAATTATGTCGAAGTCCAAAAATGCTTATATCTTGGGACAGAGGGAATAGTAATTAATAGCCACCTCTAATTGCATATAGTTATGCTTGTATTACTTAGCTAATTAGTCTTGCTTAATTTGTTAATTACCTGAGATTGGCTGTTGTTGATGTAACTGGACTCGCCCTGGCCACCCTCCATACAGAAGACGTTCTTGAAGTCCTGCTGCTGCTCTTGCATCTTTGATCGCGAATTCACCGCACGACGGGAGAATGGGGGTGTATGTGTATAACTTGTTCCTGAGTAATTTAGTTGGATCGAGTTGGCAAAGCTGTACTGTATCGATCGTATATATAACTTGCCTCGATGATACCTTCAGCCTTTTTTTTTTATTGAACACATCAGCGCTGGTTTGTTGAACCGAATATGATGTCATTTTTTTAGTGGGATATAAAGTCATTTTAATTAGGGCCCGTAGTACACAGAATTTGAACGAACCCATATGGCCATATGGTTGATGGTAAAAATCAGGAGTAGAGCAAAAAAGGAAAAGACGACTCACGCGTGGTACCGACGAGGTCGCGCGGTGGCCGATGGGCGGCACGTGCGCCGTGAGTCCATAGATGCTACGCTAGCTCTCAGTGGCCCAGTTGACTAGTAATGTTCAGGTCGCTTCTTTTAAAAAAAATAGAGAAGGGTTTGTGTAGTATTTTTAAATTATGAACTTAGTCTATGAAACAACTCAATCTAAAATTAGTTTCTATAAAAATTTAAAATCATGACATTTAGATGCTACTCAGTTCATTGCAACAACTATGTAGATTTAGATTAGAAAGGCAGTGGGATGCATGGGGGCGTCTTCAGGGTTTAAAAATGAGATGACAAGGATACTTGGGGTGGTCTGTTTACGATCACACCGGATCACGAGTTTATTTAAGGCCTGCTTGGAGGACTGGTATTTGGTCCAAACCAGTCCCTTTGATCAATTCCAGTAGTGCACCCACAATGACAACCTTAAGAAGAGCTTGAGAACAAATAGGAAGACGATCAAATTCCACTCTATGGTACTGCTGTACCTTGCAATTCCGGGGGGTCAATCTTAAATCTTCAAACCTGTTGGAAATCCCCTTCTTCATTGCGTTAATTTTCGCTGTTGCGGCCATTGCGGTGTGCCGACCCATCAGCGGCACGCGGGGGGAATTAAGCAGCTGGTTTTTCTGCCTTCTGGTTGCTCGTCTCGGTGGCCCTCGGATCGTCATCCAACGGTCATTTCGGCCCCTTGTCTTGCTGCGTCTGGCGTCCGTCCGATCACAATCCAAAGCTGTACTCATTCTCTGCTTGTTTCCCTTCCTGCTCCGGCTCCCGGCAAAAGCCTCCGCTTCTACTTCCACGAGATCGACGTGCGGCACACACAACGTATGCATGACGCGCCCCTGCATGCATACATATCACCTCAGTCGTAGAGGATCGGAACTCGTCCTTGCTCCGGCAAATAAGTACTCAACCCGGCGTCGTGGTTGATCAGGGAGCTAGGTGGTGGTATTCAGGAATGTCCGTGCACACGTACGCGTCGAGGTGGCTTCACGTACGGCGCGTATATCGGCAGCTCAGCTCTCTGGCCACGCTGCTGGGCCGCATCCGCACGTTTGGCCCGTCGGAACAGACATCGGCAGGCATAAATTTACAAGTTCACTTTATGTCCTTCAAAACTATGGATGGAGCACTATTGTCTCGGTGTACACATACGCTGGCCACATGCCACGTCAAAGGACAAGGACAACGAGAATCAAGAAAATTAAATCTAAACTTTAATTAGTAAATAACAAAGGCAAATCTTATCTGAACGGAAGATCAAGCAACAAATGAACATTCCAACAGATACAGAGAGAGATGAGTTACGACTAATCTCATGTTTGATCGATCATGATGCGCGCGGGCACAGGCCGGACCAGCCCTTGCCGACGACTCGCTGTTGTCCACGTTCACTCACGCTCATATATATCGATCACAATACGCCCCTTGCGCGCGTGGAACAACGCCTATATATGGTGACGGACCCCCGGCTTACGAACCTTTTGCGAACGTGCCGTGGCTCGACCTACATGCACAGCGCCGAAGACCGTCTTGCCCGCGGTAGAACCGCCGTCATTTCCTCCGGTAGTCGTCCCCGTGCGCGTCCTGATCCTCATCAGTATTCGTATTCCCGACCATGCATGCATGACGCATGTGTAGAGTCCTACTGTCATAGTGCATCCCGGGGCCTTTCGTGAGGTGTTGTGTGATCTCGGCTTGATCGAGGCTCTCTGAGTGCTGAGATTACTGATGTACCTCCTCCAAACGAAACGATTCTGCATTATTTTCTTCGTCTTTTTTCCTGAGAAGATTCACCAGCTTGTCTAGTGTAGTATTGCTAGCGCTAGCTGTGTGGTGCACATGATCGGATACCCCGAGGGAAGAACACGAGCTTTGGGCCGCCGCGGGGGACTGCAAGTCTGCAACCAACCACCGCCTCACGTCGTGCTAGCTCCCGGGCAGGGCATGCAGCCCACACGGGCGTAAGCGGGTTGCTTTTCTCGTCTCCTCTCCATCCATATGCACGAGCGCGCGGGCGTCACCGTGACCCGTCTCGCTCGCTCACGGTCGCCGAGTGTGCGCGCCCTCGGATCGGCGCCGTCGCGCCGAGCGCGGCAGGTTGCAGCTCGCTCACACCAAAAGTGTCGGGTATATGTGGTGGGGCGTCGCAACGGCTAAAAATCCCAAGGTTTGCCTTATCTCACAAGCACCGATCGCCATTTCCGTTTCTCCCTTCTTGCATCTCTCTCCAGAGGCGAGCCGCTGAGACGGCGCCACTCCCCTCGGCATGAAGCACCACGCCATGAAGTCCCAGTCCCGCGCCTCGTCGTCGGCAATGGGCGCGCGCCACGCACAAGTTCTGACAAGTCATGCATATATCACGCATATGTACTCCATCTAAGCATGAAAATAAACATTCCAGAAGAGGGAGAAGATCATAGGAACATTTGGATCTTATTGACCGGCATGGTTACAGAATCATAGAAACACTATCATATAGGCTAACATTAGCACAACGAGATAGACTAACGCCGTATGGGTGGTTGTATGCGTTCCAATGTACTTCTTGGATGAAGAAATACTTTCCATCTTTGCACGCTCACAAGCTTCACTCCTATGACGATCAAGCATGATCTTCTTTAGGGCTTCTTCTCGTGGCATAGTTTTCAAATGGCTACGCACAAAGTATGAAATTTCAGTAAGGTGGGGAACTAGATAAAAAACCCTGGCTTTAATCCGCCGTTCCCGATACTTCTTCAAAGCATTTCGAATAGCAGCAATCGACACTTCGATATTTGTTTTATGTTCATTATATTCTTCCCAATCGTACATCCCTTGTTCATGTAAGATTTTCATCTCATTATCAATTCTTCTTCCAGCAAAGCGTAGCTTCAGTTCACGGAACAAATATGTTTGTTTGATCATAACTTGCCTAGTCATGTCGGTAATACCATACTCATCACGGCGGCAAAAGGTCAATATTTTTGTTCCCACGAAGAATTTATTTTTCTTTATTGATCTCCTACGAGTAGCGGCATCGTTGATAACCGTTGTTTTCATAAAGAAGTTGGCTCTATCTTTCTTTTGTGTTTTCCTGCGACCATGGATCAATAAGCTAGGTTGGAGTATATAAGCACACTAATATAAGTCTCTCTATATATATAGCTTTAGAAAATCCACGTGACAGATTTTAACACGCACACACATACGTACCTGCAGCTTCGGTTGTTCTCCATGATATATCGCAATCCCTAATAATTGCTTCACCTGGATATATATATCAGAGGACTGTAGTATATCATGTATAAAAGAACATATGGGAGACCAAATTAATCTACTCCTATGAGAGTATATCTCTAACAACGACTATAGCGTGGAAAGATCAGCTCTCTATATACCAGCACTCGGGCAGGTTGATGGATGGATTTAGGAGGGCTTGCACTGTTCCGCTGTCGTCGAGTCGTCCTGTTTCGAAAGTGTACGTTGTCTTGGAGAGTAGATCGAATATATATATACACTCCATGTTGGATATATATCCATATAAGAAACGATCTTAATTTAAGCCTATATGTTATTGGATCGGATTAGGAACGACTGGCCGCACCACCAGTTCGATCATAAGACCATATAAAACCCTTTTATTACTCTTTTTACTCCTACTAGCATAAATGCCTGTGCGTTACAATGGGTGAAGTAGTCATATATGTTTAGATTAAAACAAAATCACATTGTGTGCATGCAAGTTATGGTCCGGTTCGTTTCCACTACAAAGAGTGGATAAAATTTTAGATATTTTTACCACGCTTTTCAAACTGCTAAACAGTGTGTTTCATGCGAAAACTTTCTATATGAAAATTGCTCTAAAATATCATATTAATCTATTTTTCAAGTTTATAATAAATAAAACTCATTTAATCATACGTTAATACCGTATCGTTTTGCGTAAAACACTTTATTTTTATCTTTATCTTTAGAAGAAAAGAACACCACCTATATCTACTAGCATACTTGCACGCATACATACTACTAGTCATAAATGCCCGTGTACAAGTTATGCGCAGCATATATTTTTACGTACTACTAGGCATACATGTTTAGATTAAAATCCCATGGTTGTGTACGGCAGTGTGTGTTTCTAACCCGTCTCTCTCGTGATCCGCGTGTACGTTTTTTGAATGGTTAAACAGTACGTTTTTTTTACAAAAAATTTATGTACGAAAGTTAATTTAAAAATTATATTGATCTATTTTTTAAAAAAATAGTTACTACTTAATTAATTATATGTTAACGGGCCATTTCGTTTTTCATGCACAGGAGATTTGTATCCATCTCCTTCAAACGAGCTCAACATAACACCCCCACACAAAAGACATAACTTCGGACTCGTCGTACATATCAGGGGGTGTTTGGGATCTCAAAAACATAAGTCCTAAAGTTCAAACACCCCTGAACTTTGGACTCCTCGCACATATCTGCCTCCGTCCTAAAGCAGTCCTACTCCCTACCCACCTGGGGCGAAGATGCTGATACATTGACAGAGTAGCAGACATGCAGTGGAAAGAAAAGTATAGAGAACACAATTCTGGTTCAAGTTCCAGAGATGACAAAATTGGGAAAAACACTTCAGTTGTATTTAGTTCTTGAAATTGGGGAGAAGTTTGGAAAAATTTGATAGTTTGAAAAAAAAGTTAGAAGTTTATGTGAGTAGAAAAGTTTTAGATGTGATAGAAAGTTAGGAGTACGGGGGAAGTTTGGTATACTAAATAGGGCCTTCATGAATAAAAACACTTCCGCGGTGAGACGCGCCCCGCAAGTCACAAAAGTGTATGATAAGTTCTCTCCTCTCCATCATACACGAGCGCGCGGGCGTCACCGCGACTCGTCTCGGTCGCTCACGGTCTCCGCGAGTGTGCGCGCTCTCGGACGAGACGACTCGGATCGGCGTCAAGCACGGCAGGTTGCACCTCGGCTGCTTGCACTGCACTGCACACATGTCTGCAGCTCACTCACACCAAAATTGTCGCGTCTATGTGGTGGCGTTGCAATGGCCCCGCCGCCCGCGGGCGGCTTTGCGTCACCGTTGCTGCTCGAGCCAACTAGCCCCGGCCGGCGTCACCTGCTCCGCTCTCACGTGGCACTGCACGCCGGGTAATTGTGCGAAATATATCCGCTCTCCGGTGGTCGTTGCCGTGGATGTCCTGATCCTCCATTATACGTATTCCCGACCATGCATGACGCATGTGTAGAGTCTTGCTGTCCTAGTGCGCCCCGGGGCTTTTCGTGAGGTACTGTGTTCTCGGCTTGATCGGGAAAACCCAATCCATCCCTTCAAAGGGATATTCTCTCATTTTTGCATATCACTTAAAGAGTTATCAATTTTTTAAAAAAAAAACTGTAGGATAGATCAATATGTGATATGCCACTTCACAAATATGCAAATTCAAATTCAACTTATACAATTAGAAACAAAAATAACAAATTTTACTATGGATAGAATGAGTTATTTACGGTCAAATTTGTTTTTTTAAAAATTGTATAAGTCGAATTTTAGATCGCATGTTTGCAAAAAGATATATCATATATTGATCTATCTTGACAATTTTTTTTATTTTTTTATAAAACCTTTTAAACGATATGCATAAAACGAGATGATGTCACTGTAGATGGCCATATGGCCCGTGGCCCACGGCCCGGCCCAAAGCACGGCTGTTTGGCCCGGCCCAAGCACGGCACGGCCCGACTGGAGTCGTGCTCGTGCCGGCTCGGCCCGACAGACGGGCCGTGCTTGGGCCGCACCTTCGGCATGCTAGGCCGGCACAGCACGGCCCGGTCAAATAAAAAAAATAGGAATTTAAAATAGACTTAAATAATCATATAAGGCAAAGCCTAAGATAAGAGGTATACAAAATAGACTTATTTTCCAGCCATTTAAACACAGCCCACAGAGTTGAGGGACCAAAAATAGACTTTTTATGTGATGAGGTATACAAAATAGACTTATTATCCAGCCATTTAAACACAGCCCACAGAGTTGAGGGACCAAAAATATACTTTTTCTGTGAGGAAGCACGATGGGCCATCGTGCCTTCGGGCCGACCCGGCACGGCCCGAGTAGTATTGGGCCGTGCTTGGGCCGTAGATGCCGCCCGTGGACTGGCACGGCACGGCCCGGTGTGTCGGTCGGGCCGTGCCAGCCCGACAAGCCTTGGCCCAGGCACGGCCGTGCTTGGGCTGGGCCGTGCCAGGCGGCCCATTTGACCATCTATAGATGTCACCTCGAGGGACAAAAGCCCACTTCCGCTTGATCGAGGCTCTGTTATTGATCGGGTGCTGAGATTAGTCCCTCCTCCAAACGAAATGATTCTGCATTATCCTGAAAAGATTCACCAGCTTGTCTAGTGTAGTATTGCTCGCGCTAGCTGTGTGGTGTACATGATCGGATACCCCGAGAGAACACGAGTTTTGGGCCGCAGAGGACTGCAAGTCTGCAACCAACCACCGCCTCACGCCCTCACGTCGTGCTAGCCGCACTGCCCGCAGGGCAGGGCAGTACAGCATGCATAGCTAGCCCACACGAGCGTGAGCGGATTGCTTTTCTCGTCTCCTCTCCGTCCAAGCGCGCACGAGCGCGCGGGCGTCACCACGACCCGTCTCCGCTCGCTCGCCCACGGTCGCCTTCGGATCGGCGCCAAGCGCGGCAGGTTGCATCGCGGCTGCTGCACTCCAGGTCTCCAGCTGATCGCTCACACCAAAAGCGTCTGCAGGTCTGCAGGTGGGGCGTCGCCATGGCTCCGCGGGCGGCTTGCGTCACCGTGGTACGCCGTACGCGGGTACTGTTCGAGCCAATTAGCCTCGGCCGGCGCCCTCACCTGCTCCCCTCTCACGCGGCGCGCCGGATCATAATTGTGCGAAATATATTACGAGGAAATTAGTGACGGAAACAAAGAGATGGATCATCTATACATGCGCGTGTACATAGATTTTTTTTTTTTGGAAAAGAGATTGCTAACATATAAATATATATTTATACACATCACACAATGACACAATGCAAGATGTAGAATCAATCATAGAAGTAAAGATGTCCTAGTAGGGAATATCACTTTAAAATAAAAATGATAAAATAGATTATATGAAAAATATTACTCAATAAACATACAAGTTTAAATTCGACTTATAGAAGTTATAAAAAAAGATAAATTTTGCTACAGGATATCTCGACTTCATGGTTTTAACTATAGTACACCACACGAAATAATTTTTGGGGAATACACTATGTAAATATAGTTATTTGCAACAGGACACTGCATCCACTAAATTAGTATTTTTGTGCTGACAAGGCGAGAGGGGACCCACATTTTTACACGGTGTGACCAAATTGCTCCTCTTCCTCTCTTCTCTTCTTCCTTACCTCTGTCTTCTTTCTCTCTTCTCCGGCGAGCCATAGGACCCGCGAGCGGCGGGCAACCAATGGGCGGAGCGCGCGCGGCGAAGATGGAGGTGGCGCAGTACTGTGTCACTTGCGGCCCTTCCCAAGTCACCATTGCCTCGATCCACCTGCGTTGTTGTTGATGATACCGGCTGTGGCTGTGGCGGGTGACCTCGCGCGCACAACCGGCTCTATGTCGCAGCAAAGATGTCACCACGCCGCCAACCTCAGGAATCGCCTGGGAACGTTGTCACCTCCGGAGCCCTCAGTGTCGACTCCTCCACCGGATGCCGCCATCATTGAAGTCCGGCGTCGATTCCTCCACATGGAATCGCCACTGCCGCCGCAAGCTCCTCCACGAGCTCCGAAGAATGCCGCGCCGAGCACCACACCTCCGCGCGCCGCCTGCAAGATCGACTCCTGCCTGATCCCAAACCGGAAAGAGAGATGGGAAAGCTGACATGTGGGCCAAAGGGCATTTTTGATATTTCACGTGATTTTTTTCTCTGTTCAACCAGAAATTATTGTTTTAATGAGCGCGGTGTCCACCAGCAAATATCCAACTTTTGAGTGTGTCTTCCCCCAAAAGTCACTTCACGCAGTGTCATACAACTAAAACCGTGAAGTTGCAATGTCCTGTAGCAAAATTCATCTACAAAAAATATCAAATATGACTATGATGGTACGTATAAGTTTAAGTTTAGGGCCTATTTGGTTCACAGGATTTTCAAATCACAGGAATAGGAAAAACATAGGAATAGTGTAGGAATGCACGTGCAAAACAATGGATTGGAACACATGAATTTTTCCTACACTGAGCTAAACAAAAGAGGTTGGAGTGGATGTTTTCATTCCTATGGAATTAGTACATTTTAGAGGATTTTTGGAGGATTGGCATAGTGTTCCTATGGAAAATTTTCCTTTGAATCCTACAAACCGAATACATGAACAGTGTTTATTCCAAAGGAATTGAGATTTCCTTTAGGAATCCTTCAAAACGAATAAGGCCTTAACTTGTATTTTTTTTTATAACTTGTAGGTGTTGAGTTTTAATATGTATGTTTGTGGAGCGGTATGTCCATGTTAATTTATCTTGTCAACATTTTCTAAAATTTTTCAATAACTATCTATTAACTTATTAGAGGAATAGAAAAAGAGCCTCCACGTTTGCTCTCACGGACTAGAAATTCTAATATTAATCGAAGAAAAAGAAAAACAGAGCCATATATAGAAATACAATTTAGAAATAGTTGAAATTCGGAATTAAAAAATAAGGAATATTGGAAGAGGAAACTAGATTCTGCGACGAGCGATACCCGTAGCCGGATATAGAGGGTATTGGGGTACGTTGGTGCAAGGATCTACGTAGTACGACATCAAGCAACAAAAGATAAAGATTATACTGGTTCAGGCCCCTTGATAGGTAATAGCCTTAATCCAGTTGATATGGGATTATATGATGGAAAACCACAGATTACAAAGGGAATAATGGAACTCGATGAACCCTGCAGGATCGTAATCGAGTTGATTCGACTAGATCCCTAGCGATGTGGCTCTTGCAAGCTCCGATTTCGTAGGCTGTGGGGGTTGTGTTGGCTATGAGATTCGATGCCTTAGGTCCTCCCAGGGGGTCCCTTTTATATCGCAGATCAGGTGGTCTCCAAGTAAAACTTGGAGACATCGGACCCTACACGATATACCGATGACCTTGTCTTGTCTGAGTAGGACTTAAACACTGTGGAAGATTTTCTTAGTATATGCAGATAATGTCCGTGTATGCGCGGGTATGCCATGTCGATATGTGGCGTATATCGAAGGGTAAGGGGTATACCTAACCCGTAACCCTGACAGATTCCATATAGAAATACAATTTAGAAATAACTGAAATTAGAAATTAAAAAATAAAGAATATTATAAGAAGAGTATAGAGTCCATATAGAAATATAATTAAGAAATAATAGAAATTCGAAATTAAAAATAAGGAATATTAGAACTAGAGTATAGAGTCTATATAGGAATTTAAAACAAACTAAAATTCGAAATAAACATAAACATAACAAAATTTAAAGTAGAGTTTAGAGTCCGTATAAAAATACAATTTACAAATAACTAAAATTAAAAATAAAAAAAACATGAGAAGAAGAGTCTAAAGTCAATATAGGAATACAATTTAGAAGTAACTAAAATTCGAAATTAAAAATTAAAGAATATTGAAAGATGAGTTTAGAGTGCAAATAGAAATACAATTAAAAATAATAAAAATTCAGAATTAAAAATAAATAATATTGGAAGAAGATTCTATAGTCTATATAGAAATACAATTTACAGATAATGAAATTTGGAATTAAAAAATAAGAAGTATTGAAAGACGAGTCTAGAGTCCATATATGAATATAATTTAGAAATAACTAAAATTTGATATTAAAAATAATTAATAACTAACACGTATATAAAATATAAATATTACACATTATTAGTTTCATAAAGTTAGTACAAAATTTAAAATTATGTGTCATTTAATATATTTAATATAATTGAAAACATATACGCTATTATATGAGAGAAAAAAATATAATGATGCTAGCCGCGCAATCTACGTGGGCCACCATACTCGTTTAGGTGAAACTCTAGGTATGAAAATCCATCTCTATCATGTCATTCAAAAATTGAAAATCAGATGAGCTGTTCCTTGGAAAAAATATTCTGAACTCCTCTTTTGAAACCATACCAATTAAAATCATGCTTATCTTTGTACCACCGAAATATATATAAAAAAACTTTTTATATATGGACCATTGGATCGCAGGCTCACCTCATCCAACGGCTAAAAATCCACAAGGGTTGCCTATATAAGCCAAACCCTTTCGGCGTGTGCTCTGGCTCTGCCACCTCCCGTCTGTCACAAGCACCGACCGCCATTTCCGTTTCTCCCTTCTGGCATCTCTCTCCAGAGGCGAGCCGCTGAGACGGCGCCACTCCCCTCGGCATGAAGCACCACGCCATGAAGTCCCAGTCCCGCGCCTCGTCGTCGTCGGCGACGCACAAGCTCTCCCACGCCATCGCGAAGGCGCCGCCGAGGAAGATCAAGATCGTGCACGTCCTGGCGCCGGAGGTCATCAAGACGGACGCGAGGCACTTCCGCGACCTCGTCCAGCGGCTCACCGGGAAGCCGGCCGCCGACGGGCCCGCCGCGGCGTCGTCGCAGCCGGACCCGTGCGACACCGCTGGCGACGAGGGTGGCTTTGTCGCCGACGGCGCCGGTGCGGCGGCGGCGGCGGCGGCGGCGACGATCAAGGCGGAAATAAAGGTGGAGGAGGCCGTGGCGGAGGCGGAGGCGGAGGCGGAGGCGTCGGGAGGATTACTGCACGCGCTCGGGGAAGACGACAGGAACGACATGTTCTTACAGTGGCTACAGAGTGGCTCTTGCATCGACATGGATGCTGTTGGTTTCTCATGAATCCGATCAGGTGATCCATGCATTGGAGTTCATAGCCTTGAATTCTCCAGATCATTGATCCGGATCCCTCGCGTTTAGATGATTTCGCCTTTCCTGACATGATTTTAGATTTGATTAATATATAATGGAGATCTCCTATTTTCCTTGTTTGCGTTGATGAAGCGTCAAATATTATCTTCCTCAGTTTCTTTGCATTTTTGTCTTTTGAAGACTCTTTGAAATACACTACATAACTGATAAAGTGAAAATGGAATAGAAACACCCATTTCTTCTTTTATTTAGATGGGTTTTAGTAGCTTCCAGCTTTTGTCTGACACGGCAGAATTTTTCTGATAAAGTGTCTGGGGCTAACCTGTCGTGCATAGAACCAAAATTAGGACCTGCAATGCAATGGGGAGAAGCCTAATGGTTTCTCATTATTAGAAAGTAAACATCATTTCTTGGAGAATTACCCAGTGATCTCTGTAGAACATTGCCCTTGACTAAAAAGAAAGAACCCTCTATGCTTGTAAATCGATCTCATTAACAGTTGGCTGTTTCAAATGTTTGCGTCATTGACGTGTGGAGTGGTTGCTGTAGACCCCACTGATGCTGCAAGCCTGCAACTGCTGATACGAGCAGAGCAGGCTTTAGTTTGTGCTATTGGAAATCAGAAACAGATTTGTTTGCCTGTTCATATCTGGGAGGAGGCCTGCTCAAAGTGGTTTGCCAGTCCAATGTTTATGTCGAGATATTCATCTTATTCCATGAGCTGACAGCCATAACAAATCCTGAAGAGCAGTATCAGTATGTACTCTGCTCACAAGAAAGGAGGTAAGTTAATCCATTCAAGTGGATGCTGTTACGCACTACAGTTATTATGTATGTGCAAGCGTGAAAAGTGGCTGAACAGAAGAACAAAAAACTAATCACGACGTTCTAATTAGTGCACCCAATTAACACTAGCTTTCATATTCTGACAGCACTGCGTCTGATGTGCCATCAATTGAATTTGGCTGTGGCCCTTCCAATCTTGTTAGGACATCAGGTGCTCCAGATGCATCTCTGATAATCTGCAAGAGAAGATATTGTGAAGACGATGAGTTATCATTAACATTAGCTGAAACAGTTAAGACTTAAAACCATCCATTGTATGCTCAGGAGACATGATTATACTACCTATATTAAAGGACTCATTCAAACCAGACTTGTAAACGTGCAGGATATATGATACAGTGTGGATTATATAATTGATTTCACACTTTTGTGTACATGAGAGCTAAGGCAGCCTACTAATTAAGTGTAAATTGGGTTTTAGATCAAAGGGATAAGGATCATATTTTGTTTGACTCTGAATGCACACTAGTACAAACTAAATGTCATACAATATGATTGCGGTCTTCACCGGATGTGTGCATAGAAACGTACCAGTATTTCCTCATCCAAGTAAGAAATCATGAATAGGCGCTGGAACATCCCATCTGCCATAAGAAAACAAGGCATCAACTCTAAGTAACTAATCCAAGTGTTTTCCGCAGTTATCACGTTGACCAATGCCAGCATGACCAGAACAAAAAATATCAAACCGTTGTTTATACCGAGCTTCAGCTAAGAAAATATGGCAAGCTGTGTCAAACTTAAATGAGAAAAAAATATAAACTAAAGGTAAAGTTATAACTCTTTTAGCATAAGCGAAATACTGCAGATGGAAATGAGAAGTGTACTCCTTACTAAGTGGCAATTTAATCCCCTCTGAAACAGCGTCCCTTATGGGGGCAGGGAGTTGTTGCAGAGCACCTGCAGTTTGTCCAAAGAAACCCTTTAGTTGATCAGGCAGTGTTTCTTCTCTGATCCTAGGGATCTCTATTAGGCCCTCGACATATTCCTCTTTCATCCTAATAGGACCCTCCACAGACAACTGAGTAGTCAGCAGGAACTTGCTTTGCACCTGCATACATCAAAGGCTGCTAGTTAATTGTGACAACATGAGTGTGACAAAAGAGTTTGCCAAAAACAGAAACATACAAATCCCAGTTAACATATATCAATTAATCTTGCAAGATTATTGAAGATATTCCATGTAATCTACTACAAATAAATGCAACAAGAAGAGTCTGTGCAAAATATCAATCCTGCATGTTGATAAATTATGGTAAGTCCTGTAAAATGTGTAATTGTTAAATTTAAACTGCTTCATCTTTTGAAATTACCGTATTTAAGAACTTCACGTTGGAAGAAATTTTGGAGTATCCATCCTTGATCAGGACATCAAGTCCTGTAAAGTGTGCAACAGTTGTAGGTGACCTCCTACAGATAGATGATATTTGTTATGTAGTTAGATTTTTATGTTATTAAGAGGAAGATCATCATGGAATTATGCATTTTGATCATCATAACATAAGACAATTTTATACATAATACATAACTCATAATCAGAAAAATAAGTAACTGGCAACTTAATTTCAGAACATTATGTAAATTTCAATTTGCAAATATCAATTGCATCCAGCAATAGGACATACTCAAACAGAAGACGGGCTGCAAGTGCTCCAGGACTGCTGTCACCAAACCATTCAAAGTTCCATCGACCTTCCAGAAAGGGAGATCTGTGAAGTGAAACAGACAAATTATGGAAGTTCTCCTGGAGACATGCAACCAAAAGCATGGTCATCAAACTACAAATGATCTGCAGAACATGATAAATTTTCTGAGCTGGACACTTACGTTGTGGGCCGTGGAGTGGGGTTTAGACGCTCGAGCCCAACAATCCGCTCATTGACATCAATCTTCTGCATCCCTGTAGTCTTTCCACTAACCAAGGATTCAAACCCTCCAGCATCTCTGAACTGAAATTTGCAATTTTACATATCCTAGTTGAGAAATTAACATGAAGCTCACAATTGGCTATAATATTGATACAAACTGATATTGCACAACTCTTCTGAAAAGATGGGAATGCACAGCTCTTCTTAGATAACTCGAGAATGCACAATTCATCTTTAGAATGTTGAGAATGCACAATTCAATACATATACTCATTGGTGGGTCTGTGGAATCGAGGTTTTCATTAGTAAGTGTTTTTTTTTATTTTTTCATAAGTACTTGTTGGTACTTATACGCTATTTTCTTGTTGGCACTTCTCCAAAGACGCTTGAACGCTGAAGGCATGATGGCAAATTAGCAAGTTGTGGAATTACAAACATCTCCAATTAGACACGGCAGTGGAATGAGATAAGTAAATGCATGGATCAATACTTGTTCCGTGTACACACTAATCAATCATGTTGCTAGTTGAAATGGCACTTGCTAGGAAAATGGAATTGATACTCCTGCGTGTACCAGGTAGTACGAGCAAGGGTAGGTCAGAACTAGCGGATTCCCAAGTAGAAGACGAGGGTAGAGAGGAGCTCACGGCGAGGAGGAGGGACTCCTTGGCGGAGAGGCGCTCCATCTCGCGGGCGTAGCTGGCGGCGGGTCCCCCCTGGAACGTCGGCGCCGAGGCCCTGCAGCGCCCGGCGCCGGGGCGGCGAGGAGGCGAAAGGCTCAGGTGGCCATCCCGCCGGCTGCGGAAGGAGACCAGCGGGAAAGGAGTGGAGGCGGCGGTGATGAGCGCCGCGGCGGCGGCGGCGGCCATGCGGGACCTGAGTGAGAAGAGCGGCGTGGTGGTGCCGAGATGAGTTGCAGATGCACACGCGACGTGGAAACCGTGGGAGAAAATAGCGGAAAAATCAAATATGGGGCTGACATTTTATTCCCGATTTCCTCAAACTCGCAGGATTCCTGAATATTTTTTTGGCTACTTCCAAGTCATACTAGTACGCATATTCAATCATGCTAGTTTATCTTTTGGCACAGGTTCAGAGAAGCGTAGCATCATCCAACAAGTTGTTCAAGGGTCTCAGTTTTGGGCAAAATGAACTCCACTGTCCTCAACTGATGAAACTACTATAGATGAATAAAGTGAGGGTGAAGATACTGAAAGAGGGAGCTCTACACTGGCATACACCCCAGAAAGACTAAGTTATTTGCTTCTTAGACATCTATCAAAAGCTGAACCGAAAACGTAACAATCCATATAGAAAATCGCAATACAACAGGCTAATCACCTAAAGATGCAGAGATATATATAGTCACAAAAGGCAATGGAGAATTAGTGCGCCGCGCCCAAGATGCGTTTCGGCTCTCAAGCAGCGCCCTTCCGCTGCTCGTTCTCGCCATGAGCGAAGTGGCATCGGTCGCCGAACGTGCAGGTTCCCTTCACGAAGTTCTCGCACAGCTTGGTCTTGTAGTTGCTCCTGCCCCCGGGGCCGCCTCGGCCTGCTGGTGCTGCTCCTGCTGCTGAACCAGCGGGTTTCTTGGCTGGTGTGCTCGGGCTGATTGTTGCAATGAGCTCACCCACCATGTTGCTTGCCTGCTTTATCTGGTCGAAATTGCCTTCGAGCTCAATGTTCTTCAGGTTTGAATCTGATTCATGGTCACGTATTGAGAGCTTGACCCCAGTTACTCGGCATATCTGCTTCGTGTTGACTCCACCCTTCCCAATTATGCCACCAGCAAGCGAGGCATCAACGCTGATCTTGGCAGTAGCAGATGCACCAAAGTTTCCTGCTGGAGGACCCATAGCGGCTGGTGGAGGTGGTTCAGGTCGGCCTCCATATCGACCACCCATAGGAGGAGCCATGGCACTCTCATGGGACATGTAAGCTGGCTTGCCAAGTTCCCTCTCACCATGGGCGAAATGGCACTTGTCACCAAATTTGCAGCCTTCTGCAGTGTTATACTTGGTGCACATGCGTGTCTTGCCAGAAGAAGCTGGATGAGAATTACCACCAGCAGCATGATCCATAGGAGCTCTTGCCGGTGCAGGCACAGCTGGGTTGCCTAGATTGAGTGTTTTTGCTACTGCTTGATACCCACCAGGGACAAAGTGCGAGAAATGACAACCCTCGCCAAAAGGGCATCCGATAGTGCTGCATAAATCAAAACATAACATGTTAATCTTCTACATTCCAAAAGACAAAATTACAGTGTAGCTTCAGTCCAAGTTGCATAAACACAAAGCATCTTGAGATACATAATTACATAGAAAGTCAGACATTGACTAGTGCCAACAAACTTCCTAAAAAGTAAAATAAAAATCAGAGAGAACCAAATCAATCAATCAATCGTGGAACTGTATTGAGACACAAAATAGTGCATGTGGAAGCATAGGACAGTAGGTTGGTTAGAATCTGTAACTTAAATTCAACATTCCATTATATCACAGATTTAGTATTTCACCAATAAGCAGCAGCATAGCTTTCTTATAGATACATAAGCTAAACCTGGAAACAGCATAACTGCATAACAAGTTTAGTTTAAACTTATACTAAGACGATCAATTTCAATGCTTGTCCTGTGCAATTTTTATAAATACAAGTGCATTTGGAAATGGGAGTCATCGCCTAAAAGACTCCATGTCAGTGGCAATGGCCATCACGTTTGTAAGGCTTGTTGATGTTTAATTAAAACAAGGATTCCATTCCATTCAAGGTCTACACATCAAACTTCCCCAGGGGCTGTTCTGGGAGCAGATGATAATAATAACCGTTTTCAATATGCAGAAACATAACTCAGAATAATAACCATTTTATCATGTTAGAAATTATATCTAATAATCCATAAGTCATTGGACATTTAATAGGCAAGCAAGATCTACTGAAAATACGATTCAATCAGCAAAAAACTGAATTTAAGGCACCCATGCATCTATACACTATCTTAGAAAAGGGGGGACCAATATGTCTAGTGTTAGACGTACAGCTTCTGAATAAAAAAAAACTTGCAAGGGTAAATTAATTCGTAACTGTAATAAATAGTGAATATTAGAAGCTACTATTCTGATGTTATCTTGGATAGGTTAAGATTGTAACCTGAAAAACTTGGTGCAAGGCTTCAATTTGCTTGATAGACCAGTTTGAAATGACTCCGTTTCTGTTGCATAAAATTTTGTTACATCTTCTCACTTGTTAGAAGTTGCATTGTTAATCTTCTAATGAAGTAAACATATAAAATTTGCGTCCAATGAATGTGATGAATAAACAATAATTTTGATATGATATTGATGATATTTCACAGTGATTTATCCTGCAGAAATCATTCACATTTACATTCAACCGCTTCGCAGATGGTAAATATCATTTGTCCAGGTGTTTCTTCTTGTAACCTCATTTGGAGCATCCTCAGGCCCCATTCTGATTATAAGAGCCACAAGGTACTATGCTTTTGCAGATAGTTTCGATCAATAGTGCTACATATTTCTTGTCTATATATGAATAGGGCCTCGCTAGCACTATGGTCATTAGTTACTACAGACAGGCCCACAGCTCAAACCATACACCATTTCTTGTACTTTATTTTAAGCAGTAAGGGCTCACCTGTTCTATCTATAAACTACCTTTCCAAATTATTAAGCAGTTTTCTTTTGCTTCTTGAAGGGAAACACCAATCTAACTGGCTGTCCTGGACTATGTAATCATCTGAGTAATCCTACACACTTAACATGGGTACTTTCCCTAACTCCCCTCAGAAACGTTCTGTTGTATTTTGAATGAATTTCACTCACAAATTAAACTCAAATAGCCCATCAAACCATCCGAATCAGCACAAACTGCTAGGTTACGAAGTCCTTGTTGACGAAAACACGTGCATACTCATGATCACGGTTCATCATAGTAAGTCCGAGCACAAGATTGACTATTCTAATCTTATTACTGGGGCTCATCAGCCCGGCGCACTCGCTCGATGCTCGCGGAACAAACCCTAAAATTACCAGGAGAGCGTCGAGGCTTGCAGATCCAGCAGCATAGCGCACAGAAGACATCGAAAAATCTAGTACGCACAAGCAAATGCAGAAGGGGATAATGAGGCGATAGAGAGAGAAGGGTACCTCTCGAGCGCTTCCCTCCGGCGGCGCCTCCGTTGGCCGTGTCCGGCCGGGATCTCTTGCGGGCGGCGCCGGCTCCCTCCATGGCGAGCCTTCGCGCGGAGGGAGGAGGAGGGAAGGGAGGGGAAGCCGGTCGGGGGCGAGATCGAAACCCTAGCTCGTGGTTGGCGGAGGGAAGCGGAAGGGGAAGCGACCAGCCGCGGAATCGAGAGGGTTAACGACGAGAGAGAGGAGAGACGTAGGGAACGGCTGGTTCATATGGGGTAGTTGGGCTTTGGGCCTCCACCGAGTCAGATATTTATTGGATCTCGAGGAGAGCTTTGTCTTCGTCATGTCGTGTACGTCTTGGGCTTTGGGCCACAATTCGTATTGGACAGTGTAGATCGAATTTTGGTTCGAGATTTCCTCCACTGGTAATTCTCCATTGTCTTGACCACTTCACTGCTTGATTTCTTGAAAAAAAAAACAATTCACTGCTTGTGAATTGCGATGGTAACAAACTACTTACAATCTGATTGATAATTGTTGCCTTTTCGGGACAGAAATTCTTGGGCTATCCTAACTCGAGTTTTACATTACCCCACCATTAACGCAAGTATGCCTTCCAGATCGAAAAGCAACCCTCTAAATTCAATTCAGGGCACAGGCTGCAACATGAACTTGCCCACTGCTAACACTGCATTTGTACTTGCATAATGTCGTCGATCAAATTCAGAAGTTACAGAGAGTTATTTCACAAAACCAAGCTGTGCAGTGAATCCTCCATGGACAAAGGAACTCACATGCTCCTGGCCATCATCTCCTGGTACCTCCGGTACGACTCCTGCTTCTCCAGCAAGAACTTGGCATGGCACCTCGCGATGAACCTCTCCGCGAGCCTGTCGATCTCGTTCACCGCACCATTGCCGTCGCCGTCGCCGTTGCCGTTGCCGCCGTCTTCTCCTTCTCCGGCAGCCGGCAATGCACCGGCCGACGTCTCCTCCTCCAGCCAGCACAGGTACCCGCAGTCCTCCCCGTCGTCGCCGCCGCCGCCGCGCAGCTCCTCCGCCGCGCCGTCGGCCGGAACCACCACGTTCCACGTCGAGTCGTCGTAGTCGTAGTAGTACGGGTGGTAGTGCAGCTCGAGATCCTTGGCGCGAGCCGGCGTGACGGCGGCGGCGGCGGCCCAGTTGAAGCGCAGCAGCTTCATGAAGCTGGCGATCCTCTTCTTGCTCTTCTCCGGTCTCGAGCGGTAGCCGATGGCGTACTTCTTGCCGCCGCCGCCTCTCGTCGGCGCCCTCTTCTTGCGGACGACGTCGAGGAGCAGCGACTTGAACTTGGCGAGGGCACGGAAGACATGGCCGACCTGCGGGTAGATGTGGGAGTGGAGAATGGAATTGAGCTTGGGAGAGATCGAGCTCGGAAGCAGAGCTTCCATGTGAAACAATGGAGCCATGGATCGGGGTGGTGAATGCGGTGGAGCTAGACGGCGTGAGCTCTTGGGCTTATAAAGCTTACATGTATCCAAATACCACCATAGTTCAAATAAATTGCGACAATACCATTGCATAGTCTGAAACTCTGACTACAGCTTACGTCGTTTTCGTTCTGTAAAACTCTGATTACTGAATACTTGTAGTCAAAAAGAAAAGTAAAAAAATGATGCACTGCATGCCTCATCGGATGCTTTGCCTGTCTCAAGACTTTGGGGCCAAAAAACCTTGGCTCCATGAAGCTTTTGTTCTGCAACAGACAAATGGAGCACTGAACAATGTCAATGATTCAGATAATTCAGCAGGTTGTTACTGTTTCATCCGAGCAATATTACAGCAGTGCTTGAGGGGTTTAGGGAACAGAAATCAGCAAGGCTCAGGAGGTGCCTGTCAGTAACTGAGCATGCTTCCGATAAGTGGACCAGCCTGCTATGCTCTAGGCCCGTCGAAGAAGACATTTCATCTTTGTTTCTGAATCTTGTCCCCGCAATGTTTACGAAGATATTAGTACGTTGGTTGTAATTCTTCAAGTCAAAATATTCCCTGAACATCGTTTGTTAGCCTGTCACGTGATAGTCATATACATTATATTCATCTTGATGATTGATGGAAAAAAAGTCAAAATTAACTGAATTACTCTGCCCCTGGAGGCATGCAGAGCAGTGACAAGTGCTGACATGCATGGAGCGTTCCAAGCAGCAACAAAGTAGGATGAATGTTACAAATCATCAATTGGAGAATCCGAAGAAAACAGAGAGTACTGGATGTATCATAGCTAGTCATGGTCTTTTCAGTGTATTCTTACTATTCTGACGACTTAACTGCCTAATTACTTACTCCAGTCATGTCCTTCTCAAAGGAAAGAGAAGCGACGAACAACTTTCTGTGAGCAAGCCTGCTATAGAAATTCAGAAATACAATCGCAGTACCTGTTGGCACAAAAATGGACCTTAATCTGTTGTTTGATTCTTTCTGCACGCCACTGACTAGCTGCAATATGGATTAGTACTGGCTCACTTAATTATCAGAACCGAGCTGGGAACAGCTGGAAACGAAGCAAATATTAGTACATCAAATTGTCATCCTTGCAGATGATAGTCCTCCCACTTAGGAGTGGCAGAACCAAATCAAGAAATCCCATAGACTTCTCCACGTAAATGTTGCGTGGTATCTCAACCTAGTCAGTTTCAGTGAAGGACAGTAGGACACAGCAGGAGCTCCGGTCTAATTCTCTTCCCGGTTTTGTTGCGTCCAAGACTCCCAAGTTGGTGATCCATGAGAAAGCGCACCACATAATTGGCCATGACTTACAATTGTTCAGCTGGATAACAGACAAGAGAGAGATGGAGCGATGAACTGTGTACGCACTTGACATGGATGGTGTGGATGATGCATTCATGCACCTGGCTGCTCATGCATTCGCCGTGTGCATCCCTTGCAGCAGCAGTAGGAGATAGAGATGGTGTGAGGCCCAGTTCTGTGTCGTCGTAGGAATCTAGTTGTTGGGATACTTTGCAAATTGCAATTGCAAAGGAACAGTGACACACCACGCGTTGCATCCGTGGAGAATTGGAGATATGCGAGGAAGAAGACTTGAGGAAATGGCAATGGCAATCATTCGCAGAGGCTGGTGTTGTGATTGTAACCGGAGGAGATCGCAGGAGATACACGACGTGGACTCGTACCGGATCAATGTGCTCATCAGCAGATCATGCGATCATGAGATGATGCAAAGCGCTCGATCGCTCGCTCGCTTGCCGCTGGATTGGAGCCTGCAGCCTGTGTCTGTGTGCGGCATGCGTCTGCGTGCGCGTGCGTAAGTTTGACGTGCCCACTTGCACGGCGAGGTGCTGGGGATGAGCGAGGAGAATTCCTTCTAGAATGTCAATAAAGCCGCTGTCAATGGTATTGTTTTTTTTCTCCTATTGCCATATTGATGTGTAATTGCGCGTTTATGAAAATTTTTCCTATTACGCGAAGGAGAGAATGCAATGGAGGAAAAAAATAGGACTTGGATGCAATCCGCTTCGATTTTGCTATATATTTGTCAGATAATTTTTTTTAAAGAATTAACATATATAAATTAAATAAAGTATAATCCTACTATGATTGATTTTATGGCTATTAAGAAGGTACCATATTTTCTAATGTAAATTTAGTATCTCTAGTACTATGAGGTACCAAGTTTTCACTAAAAATGTTGGTACCTCCCAGTTCCAGTACCTCTCAAAGACTGTAAAATTACTATCCTGCTATAGTTACATTATAACTTGTATGCACCTTCACATGATTTTAAACTGTTAGATTTGCTTCAAGATTTGTGCACGCGAGAAAGGAAAAAATCACAGTGCACACATGTGAGGAGAGTCAGTTCCACGATGTCTGCTTACCGGAAATAGTATGTTTCCTATGCAAGTTACAATATAACTCCACTATAACTATATACTATAGTTACATCTATCGAAATTTTTAGAAGAAATTTGTCAGTAATAAATACATAGGTAGTCCTCGGGCCGTGGGCCTGCAGGGACACGGAGTATCTAGCCCATCACGATTCGCGTAGGCCGTTTGGGCCATACAGAATTCTATAGTAATATAGCCCATCTGAAATCAGCAGCAACTGTCGTTAGGCCCAATTTGTTTTTTTTTTTTGGTTTAGGAGAGGGGGATATGCGGCGGAGCGGAGCCCCGGTGCGTGGGTGGCCGGAGTTCACTCCTGTTCACGCGCGGCGCGGCGAACTAATCGGATGCGGCATTGACAACTGATGTGCATTTTTTGTTTCTGCAGCCACAAGAAAATTACTCGGAGAGCCGCGTGCGTCTAGTTCAGATAAACCTCGCGTACAGTGCATTCATCCCGACAGATTGGAACAACTTGGAGACAGGTGAAGTAATCCTCCAACAGAACATCATTAACTACTCACAATTTGCCAAATCTTCGATAAAACCAGGGATTAAACTACGCCCAAGATGCAGTGCCAGGGATTGACACAAACGCATTTTGGCTTTCCATGTCGTTTTTGAAGCTGAGTCAAGGCCTAAATCCACGGGATTAAACAAGGTTCGAGCCTTCGAGGAGCCAATGAGGCGAGCATGTTCTGCTGCCCCTTCAGGGTTTCAGAAGACGAGCTTGCGAATTCCATCCCCCTCCACCCACGAAGCACCAACCGGCGCGCAGCAAAAGACCAGAAAATTAAAGCCAGGTATATGTATATCAGTATATGTATGTACATACCTATCCAGATAAGATTCTTTCTTAATCTTTCCACGTTGGCACACCAGCATGTCCAAATCTGCAACTGCATAAGTATTGTCGTTGATCGAATTGACGAATCCCATTTTTTATCACCTCTTTTGTCAGACTCCTGTAAAACCCTGACCAACTTGAGCATACAGAGTTCAGCTACATGTATACTGTATATACAGATAACGATTATATGTGTGCGTGCATACAGTTTTGATCGATTGACGTTACGATTGACAGTTTCACAATTGACAGTGTCCGTGTCTGTTTTTGGGTAGGATCAGGAATTCAGGATGACAGCTTCGACCTTGATTTCTCGTTCTTGTTTCTGATCAGGGAGATTCCAAAGACAAGAGTAGTCCAATGCTCATCAAACACCTGTATTTCTTCTGAAGGGATGTGTGGACCCGGTAGATTCCCCATAACACTAAAAAAAATATGGTTAGAAGATTTTATTATGGTTTGACTTTGTTTTTAGTTAGGGATCGGTGCACAACTTTGCTCAAGAAAATTATTTGATCTGTCAGTTGTACTAGTGCATGTAATTTCTGATACCCCTGAGAATGTCAAAGCTGATCTCCATCTATTCTTTCTTTTCAGGAGAACTTGTTATCAGGTGAAGCGGTGGTGAAATGCCAACGTGTAAATTCAACACACCTTGAAAATTTTGATTACTAGAATCTTGCTTCAGTACAGCATCCTCCTAAGTCCTAACAATAAAATGAAAAACATCTGATTAAAATCTGCATTGATAAAGGGGGCCTAAAATGACTGACGATGCAGATGTGTATTGCAACTTAGAAGGAGTGAGATGATATGGACCTAGAAGTCATCACTTAGATTTGAATTTACGGATGCTAGTCTTTTTTAAAGATGACAGGATCAAACGAGAAAGAAAATGGTGCCTTATACGACAATTGAATTAGATGAAACAAAAAAGCATCGATGTTATCGTGTTAACATGTGATGACTTCCTATGGCATAGTGTTGGTCCTATGAAGTGCAAGCTTTTCCTTTAGTTTGCACTTCGGTGACGATATTGGATCACCGATCAAATGTGCCGTCACGGGATGGATAGTCACTCCATGTGCCCTATGTGTGCACAGGAGCAGAAAACAACCAATCATATCCTGTTGGAGTGCGTCTTTACAAAGTAAGTTTTGCACAAGTTACTGGCCAAGGTCGGACTGCCCTTATCTTCGCCCAGTCGACAGTCCACCCCCCAAGTCCGGTACTCTGGTGGGAGTGCACTCACCGGTAGCTGCCTGATCACCTTAGGAGAGGATTCGACTCCTTCATCCTCTTTGTTACCTAGAATATCATGTTGGAAAGGAATGCTCGTGTCTTCGATGGGTTCATCTCCCAGGTGGATAGAGTGGTTGATCGCATCGTGCAAGAATAAAGGATCTGGGTGGAAGCGAAGCCGAGTCCTCTTGGAGTTCTTCTTGTCCATAGTCCTTTTTCCTGCCTTTTTGCTTGTTCGGGGCTGGTTTTGCCTAGCTTAACTGGTCATTGATCCCCTTTTCTCCCCGTTTAAACTCCCCATGACCGCTACGGTAGGTCACGGTTGTACAAACTTTTTCCTTGAGGAGGTACCATGAGGTACTATTTTTTCTATTATAAATTTGGTACCTCTTGGTACCTATGTACTACGAGGTATCATGAGGTACTAAAATTTTGGTACCTCGTGGTACCTCCTCAAGGACCGTAGAATTGCTCTTTCTAATATATTAGCGTACAAGGCTCTTGTGCGTTCACAAAAAAAAAAGATCAGTTTATTTTGCTGCTGATGAAGTTACTGCTCTATTTTGACTACTTTGTCTACCTCATGGTGACACAGAGAGTTGTTTACTTGATTATCTATGGATCTAAAATTTACCCGCTTCGTTTGGCCAATAAACATCACGTCCAAGAAGATTCAAACTAGAAACATTGTATGATTCGTCAGGTTATCTACCCTTGTTGGGACATCAAAAGACAAGCAACACACAAATTATGGAGCATAGAGATGTCCCCTCTGATCCTAACTGTAATATGTTTGAAGCTTGCAAATTATGTTCAGCTAGAGCTGGAGACTAAAAAGAACCAGATAAGCAAAGAAAATGATAGCGAGGGTGAGGGCACCAAAGTGGCTATTTGTCACCTTAGCCTTGTCCGACATGCGAGATAATTTATGCTCTGCTATATATATGTAGCAGTTGGATTTATATACATACACATATATACATCTCTTTGCATATTTATATTCTTGTCAGTTGTTTGCTGAGGCCCCCACTGTGAGAAGTTCATATTCCATTTGGGATTATCAGGACTCCTTCAGATTATTCCAATCCTTCCCTGCATACAGAAAGTGATCTAGCTGAGGTGAGATCAGAGAGAGAGAGAGATTGAGCTGGTTTTACCAGGAAGTTTCCAGTGGTGTTTGCTTTGCTGCACATGTGATGCCCTTCAAGTTGTAAGTTCATCTCAACCATGTGTGTAATAATGCTTACTTTTTGCCATGCATTGCATTGCGTCCTCTCCTTCTCCGGCGGCTGCTGCTGCTGCATGGTGTGATGGTGGTGGTGGTGGTCGTCGTCGTCGGCTGTTTTGCGATTCTGGAGATTGGTTTTGTACTTTTGTGCGTATCCGGGGACATGCACCGCCGTCGAATTATTCTCGCCGTTGTTGCGTGCCACGCCTCCCCTCCTTCCCTCCCTGCGAATATAGGCCGGTGCGGATTCCCAATTAATTCCCATTGATCTATCGTATGTGCCACTAGCTTCCCGTTCGTTCGATCGAGAGCCTATTTAAGCTTCGCCGCCGCGTTAATCCCTCTTTCCTCCTCCAAATTAATCTCATCCTAATTCTGTTTTAATTTCTGGTGGGAATTTCGCTGTTTGATCTGGCCTCTTCACGTAACCGTAATGTTCTATGTGTAAATTGAATTAATGGAGTTGGTTGTGAAATCGTTGAATTGATGGTGATTCGGTTGTTGTTAGTTCAGTTAAATGTTGCAAGATATCATGAACACCAAGAAGATTAAGCTGCACGACTGCCACTTCGGCTCGCCGCTATGTGACCCTTCGCCGGCGCCGCACCTGCTGAGCTCCGCCGCCGCCGCCGGGCTGTCGTTCCACCCGGGGCTCGTGAGCTCGGCGGCGCAGCACCAGCAGCACGGCGCGGGCGGCTGGCTGCACGAGGAGTACTACGCGCCGAGGTCGTCGCCGCCGTCGTCGCTTCTCGCGCAGACCTGCGTCGGCTCCAACGCGACCGCGTTCTACGCCGCCGAGAACCTGCCGCAGTTCGACTTCCCAGCTCTCGGTACGGCGGCGGCGGCGGCGGCCAAGGCGCCGTTCCGGTCGTCGGAGAGCGAGCTGTACCGGCCGGTCGACCCGCTGCTCCTCCGTGCGGACCACTCGGTGAGGACGTACTACGTCCGGCCGCAGAAGCGGGATTCCGGCGAGAGGACACCATTGCCGCCGCCGTCGCAGCAACAGCATCAGGACAGAATCCACGGGCTCTTCGCCGGCGCTCCCACCACTCGGCTTCTCAGCGGCGAACCCAAAATCCACTCGTTTCCACCTCAAGTAAGCATGGAACAATCATGAACAGAACTCTACTAAGAATTCTACTGTTTGTCTTTAATTCTTTTCTTTGAGATGCCTGTGAATTTTTTTATCGTAATCTGAAAATTAACTCCGATGAAGGTGGCGGCGAAGCCGATTCTGCCGGCGATGGATGCGCCGAGCCTGCAGAACCAGATGGAGAATCAGCTGACAAGGAACTGCATCGGCGCGGCAACTCCGGTGACCCCCACCGGAAACCTCGCCGGATCAGGTGCGCCGAGCAAGACGCGGATCAGGTGGACGCAGGACCTGCACGAGCGGTTCGTCGACTGCGTCAATCAGCTCGGCGGCGCAGACAGTGAGTGTTCTTGATCAGCAAAAAACAAAACAAAAAAAACAGAGAAGCTTTTGTCATGCATGACGATTTCTCATGGCGCATAGTTCTTTCTTCTTCTTGCATGCAGAGGCAACTCCGAAGGGGATTCTGAAGCTGATGAATTCGGATGGCCTGACGATCTACCACATCAAGAGCCATCTCCAGGTAACTGAAACTCTGAAACTGGAAAGCAGGGTCACTTGATCAACTACACACGAACGATTTTAAACAGATGACATAGATGTGTAACCAAACAGATATCGTATTAATGTCGATTTGTAGCTAGGGATTGGTTGATCTAGTTGAAGTTTGTTTAATAAACGAGCTGTAGTTATCTAACAATTTTCTCTCATCTTCTTTCTGTGCAGAAATATCGCATAGCGAAGTACATGCCAGCGTCATCTGAAGGTAAGCCATCACAACTTCGTTACTGTTTTTTTTTTTTTTGGTTGGGAGGGGGGGGGTCTAAGCTGAATCCTGAAATAGAGAAGTTAATCCTCCATTAGTAGCAGCATTTGTAAGAGATAAGCATAAATTCCAGATCCCCTGAGTTCAGGAGGATCTGGATTCGTTCGTTCGTTGTGTTGCTTTATTCTAGGTCATTTCAACGCCGTGCTTTTATCCTACTACTGTTGTTTGGTATGCTTCGCTATCCATTCATCCACTGACACATGTCCTCATTCTGCTGCTATACTGTCGAATTTTTTCAGGGAAGCAACTGGAGAAAAGAGCAACAGGAAATGACATGCAGAATCTGGACCCCAAAACGTATCTCTCTTTCTCTCTGTCTGCTAGTAGTAATAGCTTTGCGAACCAGTCCCAAATCCCAATGGAGTGCAAGTGCTGCTAGCTATCTACTGTCAAATCATGCGTGCATATATTAACAAGAATCGCCTTTTTGCTGTAGTGGAATGCAAATCACGGAAGCACTGCGTGTTCAGCTCGACGTGCAGAGGCGCCTCCATGAACAGCTAGAGGTGCTAGCTCCATCATTTGCCAACACTTTGACACTAGATACTTTACAATTTTCAGAAAAGGAACGGCTTAATTATATAGCCATCATTGATAATCATGTAACTAACTTCTTTATGCCTGAATTTTGTGTGCCTCGCTAGATTCAGAGAAATCTGCAGCTGAGGATAGAGGAGCAGGGGAAGAGGCTGCAGAAGATGTTCGAGGACCAGCTGAAGGCGAGCAGGAGCGTGATGGAACCGCAGGAGCTGGACGACGTCGTCGCCTTCGCCGCCGGCGACGGAGACGACGACGCGTTCGATGACGTCGACGTGCAGCTGCTGGCCGTCGCTGGCAGCGGCTATGACGACGCCGGGTTCCAGTCCAAAATAAGCTAGGACAGCCTTTTTTGCGTTTTGTGTTTTGGCACTTTGATTTGACAAATATTGTTCTGGTTCTTCGACGTATGATACGCACAATGCTATTTTTTGCCCGTGTAGTTGGCGAAAGTTTCAAAAAGATATTTTAAGAAAGAGAGTGGGATCCACAGATTCGCGCTTAATTTTTTTTTTTGTAGCTAGTTTGATCAGAGTTGTAAAATTTAGGCTTTTTCAATTGGCCTGCACTGCATTTCTTAATGGTTTTAGTTAGGTCTTAGCAGGCAAAAAACAGGTTAAGTTCAAGTGGCAATATATTGCTCATGTCACATTCACATATGGGCTTGGGATGCTCTACGTGTACCACCATGACACCATCCTACGCAGAAAAAGGAAATTACAAAATGGATATCAACCACAGAACGCAATAATGCTGTTGTGGATTGTCTACTAGATACCTTGAATTAATTTGTCAATAGTTAAGAAATAAGACCTTAATGATTTGCACTTAACTTTCAGCAGCAACCTGGACTGATGTTCAACAGTAGAAGTATCATCAAGAATATGGACATGGTCCTCACGCGCATCTTCATAATGCAAGCACCGAAATGCTCTCCTTTTCCCCTTCTTTACCAAAGGGGAATGTAAAGATAAATCAGCGCTGGCCTTAAAAGACATACACCAATATAGGGGGCACACATTCAATAACCAAGAGGTCGTGAATCCATTACAGCTTTTTAAAAAGTTCAACCTGGCACTCAAATAAAAAGCTTAACTTTACATAGTCAGCCAAAGACATTTTGACATTTAGAAACTAACGCTACGAATTCTGTAGAGGTTACACCAAAGTACTGCGGCAGTAGCCACTACGTAGAATTAAAATTACAGGCTACCACAAATAATCTGGTTTTCTCTGACAAACTTCATAATCCAGAGCATAGAAAAGATACATAAGCTAGCTGTCCATTTTTTTGTCAAGAACACCATATTGTAAAGTTAGGCCTATCTGGCACCACTGCAATCCTAGATCTGCATGGACAGGTAACAGAACAGAACGAAACAAATCAAATCAATTTAGCAGATAATAGATAAATCTCTGATGTACTAGCATCATACTGGGAATGTCAAACTAGTAGAGAATTAATATTTTATATATTGTAACCTAACAAAGAAAAATTTTCGCCGGGTGTAACCTAACAAAGAATTCAGTGGCTATGGCACTTGACAAAGGAAAACTAACCAGTTAATGAGGATATGCTATGTTTCCTTAATGAAGTGGTGAGCAAGCAACTCTGATAATCCAGAACTAGGAATGCTCTCGCAGCCGAACAGCTCCTGAAGTTTTGAGTCACATAATATTGATCCAGTAATAGCATCCTGTGTAAAATCAGTAAATGAATAAAAAGCACATATCAGTTGGCCAACTTTAAGGATCACATTCTCAAGATTGGAACGATTACAAGGGAGACAGAAAGAACACAACTTTGCTAAGATACTTGGCAGGTTAATCTAGTAATCTAGGATAAAAGAATAAAACAAGAATTACACTGGTAGTGCGTAACAGATATCCAGTAACCGTGTTACATATCAGATAAGCTCTGTAAGCAGTCAGCTTCCCCCCCCCCCCCAAAAGACAGACGTAGTAATAAAACGTTAGCACTTTAACTTGACACAAAATACACTATTTCAGTTGTCTCTAACATTAACAGGAATGTGGTGAATTACAAGCCAGCAGATTATTCTTCAGTCTCTGCCATAATACTACTATTGCTTATGGACAATTATAACTATATATAATACAATGATGTTTCAAAACATTGAAAGTTTTCCAGCGTTTGCAGCCAATACTTAGCTCCAACTTGCATCCATCAGAAGCAAAGAGCAAATCGATATCGTGCAACAATAAATATAAAGTTAAAACATATTCATACCTCAAGTTGGTTTGCTTTTATGTAATCCCAAAGGTACCTCAAAGCATCATCTTGAGGCACTGTGCCTTCCATTCCAATAAACTTGGCTAGTGCATCAGAAATCACCACAGAGGGTTGATTAATCAGAGGCATAGGCTGAGTAGCTACATTGGAGGGCTTAAATTTCTTTGCTTCCCGAATTTGATCCTCTGCAGAACCAAGAAAACATAATTAGGAACTTCCATCAGAACAAAACATTAGCAGCGACATCTAGACCAAAAGAAGCAGAAGAACGTACTTGGGTCAAGTGGAGTTATATGTTTCGCCAACAATTTATTCATCTTAAACATGTCAGTTGTGTCAGTTCCAAAAACCACACGAAGTTCATCATTGCAGATTATCTTCCTTTTGTCATCAGGATCTTGAAGATTATTCTGCCGAATATATTGCCAAAGCTGCTTGACAATCTGAATGGAGGAAGCAAGTTACTTTGTCTCGGTTGATTCATTAAAGAGTTTATCACAGGATTAAATTGGATGCCATTTTCTCTAATACAATTGGGGAAAGCTGAGATTACCTGAGTTCTTGACATGACAGTCTCACCAACAATAGTCTGAAGTTCAGGTGAGATTGCACAAACTTTATTTAAACCACCAGGCCCACCTCGTTTCCGCTTTGAAGCACTAGAGGAAATAATACAGATATGATAAACCAATCAGTTTGCATGCATGAGTAAATTCCACAGGTTTGAATCAATGTACAATCCAAGGACACATGAATCTAATGGTTAAACCAGTATATCTTCAAGCAGAACAAAATAACCTTTATATCAGCTTCAAAATAGATTCAGCGTGACATTTGCATATTATCCAGTGAGAATAATATCATGCGATAATACTTATATGGCCTAAGAAATCTTAACTGATTGTGAATAAGAAAATGTGCAAAAACTAAGAACTATAACCCATATAACATTGAGCTCTGTTTTGGTATACAATAAGTGGGAACATATTTCTTTGGTTCATAGGGGAAATACACTACAACAGGTCAACAGTACAAGCTATACAGTGTACAGAATCCCATCATGAAAAATAGATGTAGCATACAGATCCAATGAATCTAATGTTAACGATCATGTTTTTTTTATTACAAATACTATGATTCATACACATACAAGAAAAAGAAAGCTTTTCAACATACTACCAAAGGACAAACCAAAATTAATTGACTGTACCTTTTGTTTGCAGGATCAAAATGTCATTGTTTGAAAAAAGAGAAAAGTTCACGCTGAGCAGTCTGGGCAGAAAACAGTATCCAGACAGGGGGGAAAAGCAGGAAGTTCTATTTAGTGGCTTGCAAGAAAGCTGACGATTCCACAAGTCCAAACTATCAGATTCACTACTTAAGAAATAAAGCAAGCCCAATTTAGCATTTTGTACATTCTAGGATAACAGCTGTAATATCCTTCAAGCACTTGGTACCACAATCAAACAAAATACATATAAAACGGACTATTGTGCTTTTTTTTTAATTATAACCTTCTGAAGCTCAACACAGAATACACCAGTCAAACAAAACATGCCTAAATTCCACTATATTCGACCAGTTAACTAAATGAGATAGAAACTAACTAACATAACTACAAATGGATGGTTACACAACCAACATAGTATATGGTCAAAAAGTAGATACCACCATACCGGCATCCCAAGCATGTGTCCTAAAAGCTATAGTGTATATAAATTGGTGTACACGAGTTGGAACCAAAATCACTTTGCTAGGAGACTGAACCCTAAACCCTAACCCCACTCAGCTAGAGGTGCCAATTCACGAGTGCAAACAGGTAATCTCAAGTCAAAGTCATTATTATTAGCAGCCCTAATTAAACGAAACAACCAACTAATTGTCCAACCAAACTAGATTTAAGAGCGAATCGGAAATATTCTGCCCATATATATCTCGATTCGATTGGGGGAATGAACCCTAATTTCATCCGGTGGCTCACCTTTCCTTGTTGTCGCCCGCGGCCTGTACTGCGGCGGTGGGGGAAGCAGTGCCGCCGGTTCCAGGGGCTGGCTGCTGGAAGGAGACGGTCCCACCAGTGGCGACCCCAGCCAAGCCGCTGGTGACGCGGAAGGCCAGAGGAGGCGGCGGGTAGAACGCCATGGCCGGCACGGGAGGCTGCGGGGAGACCGCCCCAGCGGCGCCGCCTGGTACACCAGCGGGGAGCTGCGGCATGGCCTGGAATATGAGCTGGGGCTGGAGCACCGCGAGCTGCTGCTGCATCTGCTGCAACTGCGCCTGCACCTGCACCTGCGGCATGGCAGGCGCGGGAGCGGCGACCAGAGGAGGAGGATTAGGAGCCGCCGCCGCCGCCGCCTGGGCCTTGGCGACGAGCGGCGGCTGGAGGCGCGGGCCGAAGAAGAGGTCCATCTGGTCGCGGATGAAGGTCGCCTTGTGTGCGAGGTCGACGCCGAGCTTGGCTCCGCTGCGACAGCACGGCGGCGAGCGAGGCTCCCCGGCGGCGCCCCCCGACGAGCGGAGGACGGACTCGACGCAGCTGGCGATCTCCTGGTCGGACACCATGGCGCGCGGGAGGGTGCCAAAACTCAAATCTCGCCCAAAAAACCCTCCCCTCCCTCGCACGATTCCCCCCCCCCCTCCCCCCTCTCTCTCTCTCTCTCCCCTCTCCTCTCTGTGTCTCTGCCGCCTGGTCTCTCTCCCCTTTGTCTCTCTCTCCTCCGGCCTCTCTCTCTCTCTCTCTTTCTCTCTCCTCTTGGGGTCTAATCTATTGTTAAGCAGAGGGGAGCGTTTCGTCGGGGAGGGGAGGAAAAGATGGGAAAAGGACAACTCGCTAAGGTTACCTTAGATTTGTTACCCTAATGATGACGGGTGGGGACATGGATTGGATAAGGTTGGCTATGGGCCCACTTGTCATGGGAGGGGCTAGGTACGAGGCCCGTGCGGATGGAAAGTCTGCAGACGAGGAGTCGTGGAATTACGGAAGTGCCCATGGTTTTGGATGCGGTTGTTGAGTGGGTGAGGGGGTGTGCGGTTTTTCTGCGCTGGTGGGGTCTCCATGGACGTCTCTTCGGCTCCGGGGAGTAGAAGGGATCGTGGGGCAGAGATATCATGGGCTCATGGGCTGATGGGCCGGGCTAAATAATGTCAGGCTGCGCCTTGCCTGGGAGTGACGGGCCAAGAAATAAAGTGTTCTTAAAAATAAAATTCCACATATATCGAACATGATTTTAGTTTCAAAAAAATAACTCGTCATTTTTTAAAAAATAACCAAAAATTTTACAGGTGATTTTTTAAGAAAAAAAACTTAAGATGAATTGAAGTTTGTTACACGAACATTGGATCTTACTGATTATCATTTTCATATGCCATCTATGTCAAACTAATATGTGGCATTGCGACTTTTTTTTTAGATTGCATTGTGACCTTGAAAATGTTTTTCTTATCCTAAAGCCACGAGGCATAACTAGGTCAAACCTTAATATTGAACTCATAGTCTTCAATCCCGATGAGTTGTTTATTAGCGTGTAACACACATAAATATGTTCATTGTCTCGCGTTATATTTGATACCTAACTTACTTTTGCTGTAGTGATGGCACATCCTTGTATAAACCATCCTTACTTTTTTATATTCAACATTTGACAATCTGTTTTATTTGAGAAAATTTTATGGTTAGTATTTTTATTTTTAGTATATGATAAATTTGAATAGTATTTTATGTCTGACTTATTTTTTATTTTTTATAATTTTTTTAAATAAGACGAATATAAACTCACAACCACATTTAAAATTGGATGGGAGAGCACTGAGCAACACGATTACATTTCGCACATGGTTGTTGAAGTTTAAGTGAAAAATGAATAAATCTGAGATATAATCGAACCTCTGAAATAACTGGAAAATAGCGTAATATATTAAAAAGAGTAAAATACACCAGCGGTCCTTAAACTTGTCAGTAGGTTTCACTTAGGTCCACGAACTTGCAAAATACATATCGAGGTCTCTAAACTTGGTTTATTATATCATCTCGGTCCAAAGCCGCATTTGACCGTGGTCTTGCCTACGTGGCACGCCACGTGAACGATGATATGGATTTTTTTTTAAATTTTTTTCTCCCTTCTTCCTTCTTTTTCACCACTGCGACAACCCCTCCCCTCGTGCCGCCTCTCACCACCGAGAAAAAAGAAGGAAGAAGGGAGAAAAAATAAAAAAAATCCATGTCATTGTCCACGTGGCGTGCTACGTAGGCAAGACCACAGTTAAACGAGACATTGGACCGGGATGATACAATAAATCAAGTTTAGAGACCTCAATGTGCACTTTGTAAATTTGTGGACTTAAGTGAAACCTCATGACAAATTAGTACCGCTGGTCAATTTTACTCTATTAAAAAACAGAATACTATACAAATCGACATTGTTATTTTATTTAGAGTATTAACCTTGATGCTAACCTAACAAGGGTGGGCGAACTAGCATAACAACCGTATCATGTGCTTTAATCCGCATCAAATCATCCTCGAGCTAGAGAGATTAGCCAAGAAGATAAAACCCGTCTAAAAACCCCCCGAATCCTCAAAACCCTAGGAGGAGAGCACGGTAGATCCCCCATTTCCCTCCTCATCTCCGACGCGCATTTCCCCCAAAAGAGGGGAGCAAATGGCGTCGGCGGCGTGCTCCTCGTCGGCTTCCGCCCTCGTCCGCCTCACCGGCCCGATCCATCTGTGCAGCGCCCCGCCCCGTGGGTCCGCGCGGCGGCGCCACGCTTCCGTGCGGTGCTCGTTCGCGCCGGTGGAGACGGCGAGGATAAAGGTCGTGGGCGTCGGCGGCGGCGGGAACAACGCTGTCAACCGCATGATCGGCAGCGGCCTCCAGGTAGGGCGGGCCTAACCTTCTTGACGGAACTGGGCTTCCTCGGTTGGCATCTAGATCCATTTGGTAGTTATATTTGAGCATAGGACTGATGAACAAGTTGATCTACGACTTTATTTCCGTCCTTCCGTGCAATCCCATGCTGCCATTCGCGTAATACCCCTATCTAGTTAAGCGTACGAGCACCTTTGTTGGGTTATTATTCGCTATTAATGCTGGTGTCCGTGGTATACTTATCATACTTTTGAATTATATCAGCATCTACGAAATGCGAACCCAGTGCATTGTTTAGCCTGAAATTCCAGCATGACCGTTGTTTGTTTTCTCAAATAGTAACATCTGGACTGTACAATTTCAGGGCATCGAATTTTATGCCATAAACACAGATTCCCAGGCGCTTTTGAATTCGCAAGCGCAATACCCGCTACAAATTGGAGAGCAGTTAACTCGTGGACTAGGTAATATTTGTTGTTCTCTGCTGAACTGACACAATTATGAAACGTTCTGTATGTAAATGTTACATCTTTCATGCTGATTAGTCTGCCTACAAGAACATATTGATATCTGATGGTTGTCTACGATGTATCGATAACATGATTCACATGTCTCGATGCACTAATAAACTGTGGGAAATGTATGAGTATGACATATTTTAAGGGCAGCAAATTTCGATTCAAAATAGCAAAATGTTGACTGCAGTCGCTAATTTATTCCATGCATACAGGTACTGGTGGAAATCCTAATTTGGGAGAGCAAGCTGCTGAGGAATCAAAAGAAGCCATAGCCAATGCCCTGAAGGATTCTGACCTTGTCTTCATAACGGCTGGAATGGGAGGGGGTACTGGATCTGGTGCTGCTCCAGTTGTTGCTCAGATATCAAAGGAAGCCGGTTATCTCACCGTTGGAGTTGTTACCTATCCATTCAGTTTTGAAGGACGCAAGCGCTCTCTTCAGGCAAGTGTTTGAGTCTTCTCCACCCGTATACAATTAATGTGGCGTTACATTTGATAAATAGTTTTGGTTAAGCATGGAACAAACATTTCCTTAGGGGAGCTGTGAGTTATTTAAGATGATGATTAAACACGTTTTAATCATTGGACTGGTAGTTATAATGTGCCAACGTATGGTACCTGTGTTTTGTTGTTTTTTCAGTTCAAGGTCTGGTGCCCTGTCCTCTGCTAGCTCTTTTCAATTTTTGTAGCAGAGGATCTTTAGAATAATATTTAGCATTTTTTAACGAAGTAATATTTGTTTGAGTTGCTGTTGCTATACACAGTTTGTAGTTATTTGCCCTATGTGAACCCATTTGGTTCTGTTGGACTTTAGTTTCTATACACTAGCTGTTTGTATTTTTCTTAAAATAATTGTCTGTTAAAAGCTGTTTTGCTTTTGTCTAGCTAATTTATCTGGTCTTTCTCCATTTCAGGCGTTGGAAGCATTAGAGAAGCTGGAAAGGAGTGTAGACACACTTATTGTTATTCCAAATGATCGATTATTAGATGTTGTTGATGAAAACACGCCCTTGCAAGATGCGTTTCTTCTTGCAGATGATGTTCTTCGTCAAGGTGTCCAAGGAATATCAGATATTATTACAGTAAGTATTCTTCTTATCTATGCTGCTGTAACTTGTGATCACACAATACTCATCTGAAAACTTTGCAGATACCTGGACTTGTCAATGTTGATTTTGCTGATGTGAAAGCTGTTATGAAAAACTCTGGAACTGCAATGCTTGGTGTTGGTGTTTCTTCCAGCAAAAATCGGGCCCAAGAAGCTGCAGAGCAGGCAACACTTGCTCCTTTAATCGGGTCGTCTATTGAGGCGGCTACTGGTGTTGTGTACAATATCACTGGTGGAAAGGACATAACCTTGCAAGAAGTAAACAAAGTCTCTCAGGTGCGTGTAATATTTCTTGCCATTGTCTTGAACTGTCTTTGAAGAAGTATGATATAGCACTGTAATATGTTAAGTCGAAAAACTTAAGATGCTATTATCACGATCATACTCCACAATTTAGGGCTACTGGAATTATGTGGCCTAGGTGATTGAAGTGCTTTGTTTTGACCAATGCTTATGCACGTTTTGCAGATTGTGACAAGCTTGGCCGATCCTTCTGCAAATATAATTTTCGGGGCTGTTGTTGATGACCGGTACACTGGTGAGATTCATGTGACGATCATTGCCACAGGGTTTCCACAATCCTTTCAGAAGTCCCTTTTGGCCGATCCCAAGGGTGCAAGAATAATGGAGGCCAAAGAAAAGGCAGCGAACCTCACCTATAAAGCAGTGGCAGCGGCGACGGTACAACCAGCGCCCGCCGCCACTTGGTCTCGGAGGCTCTTTTCCTGAACACGGTTCAATAGGAAAACTAGTAGTTTGTGTACCTTAGATTCTCATGGAATTACTGAGTTGGCGCTCCAATCAGGCTTCTATGTGTTATTCTTTTTGGATATGTAAACACTTAACAGTTACACATAGTGATTAGCTTCACTTTTATTGTATGTATCATCTAGATGAGGTTGAGGTCTTCAGGAGTTCAGCAGCCGTCACGAATTTTTATTGTATGTTCAAGACGACACTTGGTAGTTGTTCGTTGTAGGCGCGACTTGCTGGCCAAATCTATTGAGTTGTAGATGTGGATGAATTTGCACTTGATTGATCTTGCATTTTTACTCATACGGAGACGCCACGTGACTACATGATCGCTCTGGTGTCTTGAGAAATCCATTTATTCATTCTTGTTGGATACCCAGAGGCCAGATGAAGGGCCTGTTTGGTACATCTCAGAGTTTCAGCTTCATCTAAAATAGGAGCGAAGCTAGGTAGAGCTCTCTCACAAAATAAGCGGAGCTGGCAGTTGGAGCTCTACCAAACAGGCGTAGGCGTGAACTATTCCACCCAGTGACTTCCACAGGTGTGCTTACCCGGCCCAGCACGTCTGGGCTGCGTCAGGCCATGCCGTTTTCTTCACTGGCCCATACATAAGCCATAGCCACAGAAACCAGCGATTAGTACCATACCGCTGATTCGGATGCAGAACGCTCTCCCGGAACAGTATAAAACAAGTGCCAAGGCAGCTGTTGAAAGGCAGGCAGCTGCGCAGTGGGCACAAAGCGAACTATTCTTTCGCCTTTTACTAAAGAATACCGTGTGCTCGCTGCAAATAGCAGCATACTCTAATTTTTTGAGGGGATTTCCAGCATTTGGAGAACCCCAACAATTCTGAAATTGAAATTAGACCTTCTAATTTATATGATTTTCACCGTGATTTGACCTCTCTGGCCTAGCACCCCTGAACCGAAAGCAGCTCCTTTGTCCCAGGAGAGCTCCTTTATATGATTTTAGTTTGGATGACAACAGGAGAGTTCCTTTGTCCCAGGAACAGGGCTCTTCTGCACTCTACTCTACAGTGCAGCTGCAGTTCATATCTCAATGAGGTAGATTGGTCCTGACATCTGATCTCGACATAGGTAAGCGATGCATATAACGAGTTGTTCATCCAAATTTGTGAAGGTGAATTGATCTCTAGACGATTTATAGATTAGATAGTGTTGGCAAGAGAAGGTGGTGATGACCAAAGGGGAGACGATTGACCTTCAAGCTCAACGCTGCCGAGTTTATTGTTGCGTGCGGCGGCGCCGTGAGCCCATGACAGACGGGAGGCTTGGATGAGTAATGAGCGGGAAGCAAGTGACGGCCAGGGTGCGCGCGGCGCGCCGGCGAGGCACGCCATGATGCGCTGGCGGCGTCCTTGCTGTGAATGGGGGGGGGGGGGGGGGCTTATCAAGAAAAACCACGTTTCGATCAGTCTTTGTGCGGTGCAGATGATATTTTGGGGCGGGAAGTTGTATTGTATTCCATGTATCTTCTTTGTTACTCTGTACAAGACACCATTCTAATGTTCTGTTGAATTTATGTGTGGACGAACTTGTATTCGCTTGATTTTACTCGATGCAGAAATGCTAGAGAAATGATCCTTCTGTTATGTTTGAACGCAGATGAGCTTTGCCTGAACATCCGTCATCCGGCCCAGCACCAGTGGGCTACCTGGCAGTGAATGTCTTCACCCATATTGGCCCATCGCCGCTGATGGCAAAGGTAGCAGAGCAGCCACCGATTAGTACCATACCGCTGCTTTGGGTGCAGAATACTTCCCTCAAACAGTATAAAAGAAGTGCCGAGGCAGCCGTTGAGAAGCAGGCAGCTGCGCAGTGGGCACAAAGCGAACTATTCTTTCGCCTTTTACTAAAGAATACCGTGTGCACGCTGCAAATAGCAGCATACTCTAATTTTTTGAGGGGATTTCCTATCTAAGGACAAACCCCAACAATTTTGAAATAGAAATTTGATATTTTTTTTCAAGGGGTTTCCTGTCTAAGGAGAAACCTCAACAATTATGTATGAAATAGAGAATTGACGTCTTACACTCTTTCTCCATCTTATATACAGTTGTTTACTTCGTCAAAATCCACAAGTTGCTGATAGAATCCTTTGTGACGTTACGCTAAAAACACTTCAGCAAACTGATCTGTTCTTTGAGTACTCTGGACGGCTGTCGGCCCTACTCGTTTTGGGAGATAAACTTTTGGATTAAAATGACATGTTTTTCAAACGGTTAAAGGGTGTGTTTCGTGCGAAAAATTTCTATATGAAAGTTGTTCTAAAATATCAGATTAATCCATTTTTCAAGTTTGTAATAATTAAAACTCAATTAATAACATGTTATTAACACCTTATTTTACGTGAAATACTTAATCTTTATCTTCATTTTTAGAACATTCAAACACCACCAAGATTTGCATGCTTTAGCTGAGATGACAGCAAGAGGTATCCTTTGCCCCAGCCCCCAGGAACAGGGCTCTTCTGCACCAACACTAGGCTTCAGTTCACATCTCAACGAGGTAGCTTGGACCTGGCTTCTCGGTTGTTGAGTATATAACTAGTTGTTCATCCAGTTTTGTGAAGGTGAATGAATCTCTAGACGAGTTCTAGATTGGACAATGAGCTAACAAATTCGCTTCTTCCCCATCGTTGTCAGGAGAAGGTGATGGTCAATCACCTAAGGCTGCCAGGATTGTTGGATACTTGGATGCGTGTGACATCCGGGAGTCTTGGAGGAAGAAGGAGCGGGAAGCAAGTGACAGCCAGGATGCGGCGGCGCTCCGGCGAGGCACGCCGTGAGGAGGTGGCGGCGTTCTTGAGACGAGTGTGGGAGTCGGAGTTTTAAACTCCGAGCCCCCTTGGATCTCTAACGACCGTTCGATCAGGCTTCTGCGCCCCAGATTAACCGAAAATTATTCAGGGGCTTCATCGCCAACTAAACGGAGGCCCATTATCTTGAGGCGGAGTGGGGGCAAGGCCCACTTCAGTCGGCCGAAACGAGGCCCAAAATTGTGTGGCGGAATATGAGGAAGAGCTCTCGTGGCAGGTAGAAGCGATTAGTACCATACCGCTGCTTTGGGCGCAGAACACTTCCCAGAACAGTATAAAACAAGTGCCAAGGCCACCGTTGAGAGGCAGGCAGCTGCGCAGTGGGCACAAAGCGAACTATTCTTTCGCCTTTTACTAAAGAATACCGTGTGCTCGCTGCAATTAGCAGCATACTCAAATTTTTTGAGGGGATTTCCAGGATTTGGAGAACCCCAACAATTCTGAAACAAGATTTGATTACCTCCTGTTCATCTGTTCGTAGGCATGGTGATAGATACGCTTCTAATTTTGCAGGTCTTAAGATTTCATCTTATTCCCTCTCTAGTAGAGATACAACTGTCCATTATTCACAATCCGATGTGCTGCTGGCGATCTGTTCCATAGAACCGCAATGAGAGACGTTGCAAAACTAAAATCAGAATCAGAATCTGCTGTGACTTCACACGTATTCGCTATACTGGTTCATACAGGTCTAGAGCAAACCGATTTGATTGGTTGTAGGTTTTAGTACTCTGAAATTTGCAGCTCAATGCTTCAGTTAAGATAGCAACACAGGTTTCTCCTGTGTCCAAGTAGCAGGGCTCTTCTGCAACCTACAGCTGCAGTTCACTTCTCTCTCTCTCTGGAAAGATGATTGCAGTTCACATTTCAATGAGGTAGCTTGGTCCATCTTGGCATGTGTAAGTCAATGCGTACAACTAATTTTTCATCCAGTTTTCGCCGTGTTTAGTTACAAAGTTTTTTTTTCAAACTTTCAACTTTTTCATCAGATCAAAACTTTCCTACACACAAACTTCCAACTTTTCCGTCACACTGTTCCAATTTCAACCAAACTTCTAATTTTGATGTGAACAAAACACAGCCTTTGTGGATGTGAATTGACAACTTCTAGATTAGATAATGTGAATCCATTTTTAAAGTTTAAAATAATTAATATTATATCAATATACGCTAATGGCCCATCTCGTTTTACGTATCTTCTCAATCTTCCAATATTCTCGCTATGATTCTTGGGGAATTAGAGAGTTGGCGTTCCAATCGGGCTTCTCTGTGTTATTTCTTTTGGACGTGTAAACGCTGAACAGTTGCACATAATGGTTAGCTTCATTTTTCTTGTATGTAGTTATGTACCATCTAGACAGGGTTCAGGCCTTCGATCTTCAGGGGTTCAGGTTCAGCACGTTGTGCTCAAGATGGCACCAGGTGGTAGTAGTTGTATTGTTCGTTGTAGGATGGGAATTGCTGGCTACCTTTCGTCGCATGAGACATAACACTGTTCTATCGAATTCATACGTGTCATCCCTGTATTCGATTAATTTTACTCGATGTAGAAACGCTGCGTGGAGAAATGATCGTTCTGTTTTTCTCGAGACTTCTATATGTGTTGGATACGCGACAAAGCCCACTAGCGAGCGAGGGAAAATATTGGCATTTTGCACTTCTCTCTTGGGAATAAGTTCACTTAGCGACTCTCAAAAGTAATCAAAATCTAATCCGTGACCCTAAACTATAAAACCGGATATCCCAACCCCCAAACTCTTAAAACCGGTGTAATTTGACTCCCTTGGCAGTTTCGAAGGGCGATTTTGCTGACGTGGCGCCTACGTGACGGTATTGACCGGGTCTCCTCTACACGTGGCATTGACGTGGCGTTTAGATGTCATTTAGAATTAAAAAAATATATGCAGGACCCATTTGTCATTGACACCCAAAAGAAATTGTGGGACCCACGTGTCCTTTCTCTCTCTCCCCTCCCTCCAGTTCCTTCTCCTCGCTGCTCCCTCTCTCTCTCTCCCGCGGCGGGCGGCGAGCGGCGGAGGCATGGACGTGGCGCGGCGGCCTGCGAGCAGCAGGAGGACGGCGGTCGGCGACAGCGGGAGGCACACGCGGTGCGGTTGACACGACGTCATCCACCGTCACCGTCGCCGCCCACCGTCACGCGACCTCCTTCTCCACCTCCTCGCTTCATCGCCATCCGTATTAACATCAAATAGTTACTGCTAACTCGCACATTTACTGGAAAAAAAACTAATCTTAGCATAGTTGCATCACCCCTCATCCAAAACCAAAATCTACTCCTCACCTTTCCATGGACAAATCATTCGCATGCATAAAAAAGAGAAAAGGAAAGAGAACAAAGGAAAGAGATCCCCAAATGCAATGCATCCACCAAAACCTCCCATTTGCAGCAAGCAAGATTCAGTGTATTTGTGGGACAGAAAGATTTGGCAAGACGACAGCTACTGGCCTACCGCTGCGTGTAGATGACCGCCGGATCCAACGAAGTAGCAGAGCAAGCTTGGAATTGAGAAGAAAACATCCTTGTGGTCCAGCAAGGGCGACGCCGCTGGGCTTGCTCACTGCCTCTTGCTCGCCGCGGATCCTGCTTGGTGCGGCTTGGTCGGGTCAGTGGCGAATCTAGGATGAAAATAGAGGTGATGCTTTATATTTAAAGTCATAATACAAAATAATCATATACTCCCTCCTTTCATATTATAAGACTTTCTAGCATTGTCTATATTCATATAGATGTTAATGAAACTAGACATATCATCTATATGAATGTGGATAATGATAGAAAGTCTTATAATATGAAATGAAGAGAGTATCTTTGAACTATATCAACAATATTTTAAAATCCTGCGAGGGTAGAAAATGGAATAAAGAATAAAGAAAATGGAATAAAGAATAAAGGGAGCAAGTTGATTGGAAGATATATATATAGGTCATGGGCTGCAGACTGCAACAGCTACTGGAACACAAGAGTAAAAATAATCCACAATATAATTAATGATTACAAATGATCTATTAAATTTTCGTGCACATCGTTTCTTTCACCCTGAACTTCTCTAGCCAAAGAGCCATCACTGCTTGGCCCTTTGCTTTTTGCTGTCAATTTTGCTGGCAGTGTAAACTCACTAAGCATAGATATCTAGGGTCGATTCTTGGCAGCCAGAGCAGGGGCTGGAGCCCCTACCAGCCCCAACAGTGGATTCGCCAGTGGGTCGGGTCACGGATGACGGCTGTTGCTTGCCACCGCCTGGCTGGCGTACTGATGCCGCAGCCGTCGCCGCTCTAGTGCTTGCCGCCGCCACTCCCGCGCCTCCGCCGCTCGCAGGCGGCCGCGCCATGCCCGCACCTTCGCTACTCACCGCCGCCGCCGCCGTCGCCGCTTGAGAGAGAGAGGGAGCGGCGAGGAGAAGGAACTGGAGGGAGGGGAGAGAGAGAAGGGACACGTGGGTCCCACAATTTCTTTTGTGTTTCAATGACAAATAGGTCCCACACATATTTTTAATTCTAAATGCCACCTAAACGCCATGTCAACGCCACGTGTAAAGGAGACTCGGTCAATACCGCCCCATAGGTGCCACGTCAGCAAAACCGTCCTCTAAAACCGCCAAGGGAGTCAAATTACACCGGTTTTAAGAGTTTGAGGGTCGAGATATCCGGTTTTGTAGTTTAGGGTTACGGATTAGATTTCGATCACTTTTGAGGGTCACTAAGTGAACTTATTCCTCTCTCTTGCCCAGCGGCGTCACCAGCCCAGCATCGTTGGGCTGCCTGGGCCATGCACGCTGCGCCGTTTTGTATCTTGCCTGGCCCGAATCCACGGATAGCACACAGCACCACGGGAAAGAGTCGCGCAACCAGTGATTAGTCCCATACCGCTGCCTTGGATGCGGAACGATACTGGGAACAGTATAAAACAAGAGCCAAGGCCGCCGTTTAAAAACAGGCAGCTGCGCAGTGGGCACAGAGCGAACTATTCTTTCGCCTTTTACTAAAGAATACCGTGTGCTCGCTGCAAATAGCAGCATACTCTAATTTTTTGAGGGGATTTTCTATATAAGGAGAACCCCAACAATTATCAAAATGAAATTAAACTTATTTTTATTTTTCCTTTTTTTTTATGTCTGGTCACCTAAATTGAAGCCTACGAAGGGCCTATGCAGTTGCTCACGCATGTTACGCAGTACTGTATTGCTGTTTTGCTCTCACGCTGTCACGTGATATCAGAATTGTTTTACTCTCACGATATGTCGATCAGAATTGTATCCAAATTCACAACTCGCTGATGGCATCCCGATTTGCTGGTGCAGAGGCGAATGGAGGTTTTGCTTCGGGTGGTGATCAGTCCTCAAAACAAGACCATCTGTCTGATGGAGTCAGAATGAGGCTTGCAAAACTGAAAGTAGACAAAACCGTCTGTCTGATGGAATCAGAATGAGGCCTGCAAAACTGAAGTTAGAGTCAAAATCCGCTGTGACTACACTAATGTTGGCTAATACTGATCCACAGTCCAGAGCAAACTGATCTGTTTGTGGGTAGACAGCGTAGTTTTTTAGTAGTAAGTACAAAGACATATGCAGCTCAATGCATGCTTTAAGTCGAGATGACACCAGGAGATCAGTCTCCTTGTCACTGCAGGAAGTGGGCTCTTCTGCACTCAAAAGGTGCAGTTCATATCTCAACGAGGTAACTTGGTCCTGACATAGTGACATCTTGGTTCACATCACGATGCATCTAATTAATTATTCATCCACTTTTTTTTTTTTATCTCCAGAGTCCAGACAAGGGCTACATTAGATCATCTCCAACAACCTCTACAAATAGAACTCTCTAAATACCCATATAGCCAACTCTCCATCTAATTTGGCTGGCTAGTCAAACTAGCTATTCACTTCAACAATCTCTCCATCTATCCTCTCTACTTTGACTCTATGACACCGGGACCCATATGTCAGCCTCTCCCTTCTTTCTCCCCTTCCTTCCCCTCTTCCTCTTTTCTCACGTTGGCAGGATACAGGCGGCGGCGGAGANGGGAGAAGGGGACAGCGGTGGTGGGCGCGGTGGGGGCGACGGTGCGGCGAGGGGAGGCGGCGGGCGGCGCAGGGGGCCGGCGCCCGCGGCGAGCGGAGCCGGCGAGCGTCGCGCGCAGGCCGGCGACCGTGGCGAGCGTAGGCGGCGGGCCGCGCCGCGCGAGGGCCCGCGGCCACGGCGACCGGAGGCGGCGGGCCGACGACCGCGACGAGCGGATGCGGCGAGCAGTCGCGCGGGGGCCGGCGGCCGCGGCGAGCGGAGGCGGCGAGCGTCGCGCGGAGGCCGGCGGCCGTGGCGAGCGGAGGCGGCTGCCGTGCTCTTCCCTGTGCTCGAGCTCCTCCCAATGCGGCCATGCCTCCTCGTGCTCGGTTGCCGTGTGGGATGGAGGATGGGCTGTGTGGGGCCCACTATTGGTCAGCCAAATAGACTAGCCAAATTTGGCTAGTGAAGGGAGAGTTTTGGCCAGAGCCATCCGGTTAGAGAAACAGTTGGAGTTAGTTTTTTTAGTTAGAATGGCTAAATTTTGACTTAAAGAGTGGAATGGAGAGGCTGTTGGAGATGCTCTTAGATAATGTGTCGATGAAATTGCCTCTTCCACCATTGTTGTTACTTGTCAGAAGGTGATGGCCAAAGGGAAGAAGATTCATCTGGAATCTGCCGTTGGTGCGTGCAGTGGCGTCGTGGCTAAAGAGGAGGAAGGAGCGGGGAGCTGGGGACGGCGAGCACGCGGCGGCGCTCCGGCGAGGCTAGCCATGACGCGGTGGCGGCGTTTTTGCTACGAACGTGGCGTTCGGAGTTAAAAACCCCGACCCCGTCGGACCTGTTACGACCGTTCGACATGTCTTGCGCGGTCCAGATTAGCTTGAGGCGAGATGGGGCTCGGCGTGTCAAACAGAAACGGCCCAAGAAGGCCCAATTTTAGGATCTCTCCCATCGATCTGATCCGCCCAACTCCGATCGGACGGTTTAAGATCGACCTGAATCGGATCCCTACCATTTGGTGCACGTTTGGGCATAAGTCACAGTGCTAGGGTCTCTTTTGCAAAATTCTCGTGGCACTTCTTTTCCGGACCGATCTGACCCGTCTAACTGCGATCGTACGGTCAGCTCTGAGCGTAGAACGCCGCCGCCGGAGGCGGCATGTGGCGGCCGCGCTCCTGCCGGAGACGGTGCCGCTGCCGCGTTCTCGCCACGCCGGCCACGCTATGCACGGCGGAGGAGCACTCCCAGGGTATCCGCTTCGTGCGTGCCGTTAACCTCGACCTCCGACTCTCCGACTCATCGGTAAGTCATTCCTCCCCTACCTCTCCCCGCTCACCAGCTGCTCGACGAAATGCTCCCCTACAAACACTGGAGTCCCGAACGCGCATGCGCATACCATGACATAGTACAGTAATCTGATCTCAACTCTTCCTTCCACCTAGCAGTATGCATGATGATCTGGTCTATTCATCTGCGGGAACAATTCCTCAAAACAAATGCACATAACTAGTTAAAAACTGTATACGATTGCTGCTACAGATTTCCGAATTTGATCCTAGCAGCCTATAGATAGATTGGATGGCTATCCATTATATAGCGCCGTGTGCTAGGTCCAATAATGATCCTTATTTCTTAAGTGATCAGTTACTAAGGTGCATGTGCAAGGCAGCGTTCTCTTGGTCAAGACCAATCTGTTGTGACTTGAAGCCCTTATCATGATATATAATTGGATAACAACAAAAAACCCAATTAATTAAGCTGCCATGGTGAGACTGTAAGAGTGAAAAGAACGAGAACTAGACAAATGGGCCAGGCTACGAATCGAAGCTATGATTCATCAAATAGATGCTAGTCAAGGCAGAAAGATACAGGTACATAGAGAATTAGATGTCAGTCACCCATGCTGATAAAGAATGTCTCCATGTTCCCTATATATAGGTGTGCAGGAGCACCAACCGACCGAATGCTTATTGTCCATAGAAATCCTGATGCGTTCAGGCAAAAACATATCTTGCCTCGTAATGTGATTGGTGTCATTGGTTCAATCAAACAGATTTTGAGCCTTGTTTGATTCCCTAACTTGCTGGTCAATCTGGCGACACATATTATTGGATGCCATATTCAGGTCTCAGGGCTTGATCGTAGTACAAGTAATCACATGCAAGCTGCACGCAGTTTCATGTAGCATGGGCTTCAAACTTGTAGAACTACACAACATGGCACCGGGGTCCGGGAACGACTTGACCTAGCTATGTTAGGCTTGTGCATACACTACTAGGCTCGTTTTCATGTCGTCGCTAGCTTGCTAGCTAGGCCGGCTATTAGACCGTGAATCAAGGTTTAATATGATCTATTCATTATGAAAATTTGTTATTATAGTCGTATCAAAGATTAATTTAATTACACTCTTTTGACGAGCACAACTTATATGTGATTAGAAGCTACATTTTCTTTTCTCCCATGTGCAAAAGATTATCAGACTTCTACAGGAAATTAGGGTTGGGATGGGATGAAACCATCCTTGATTTTAGGGTTGGGATGATTCCACTCGTGTGTTTGGTTTGTAGAATAGTACGATCCCAGTTTTTTTCTTATTTGGTTGAAGGGACGAGAGAGGGATGGGATGGACACCGTTTGTAACCACCGATGACGGCCGGCCGGGCGAAGGAGCGCGACTATAGCCTGGCAACAAGAAGGCGGAGGAGAGGCGTGAGCAGGCAAAGCAACCATGGCCGCCGTCGCCGCCTCTGCCCTGACCTCCCTCTCCACCACCGCAGCCGCCGCCAGTGGCAAGCGCCTCCTCCTCTCCTCCCTTGGCTCCCTCTCCCTCTCCTTCGCCTCCTGTGGCCGCGTCGCCGTTAGGCCCCGTAGGCGGGCGTAGGAGCGCGACGACGGACGGGCGGGCGGATCCGCTGCCACCGAGTCCCCCGCCTCCAGATCTGCCGCCGCACCCGTCCCCATCGCCGAATCCGCCGCCGCCATCCCCACCACGGGATCCACCATCGCCGAGGCCCCCGCTGCCACCATTGCCGAGCCCGCCGCCATCGCCCGAGCCGTTTGCTTCGCTCGAGCCCGCCGTCTCCTAAGGGCGAGTCACGCCGTTCGCTCATCCCAGGTGGGACGAGTTCATCCGCCACATTTGGCTGGATCGGTTGGTCCCGGATCTGAGAGAAATATTCTTCTCCAGGGGACTAACCCATCCCACTCACCTCTAAACTAAACACCTCTAAAAGTGGGTTCGTTCCAACCCATCCCACCCTTGCAACCAAACACTAAGGAGCTAAGCATGCATCATGCATCAATGAGACAAACAGTATAGCTTAGCCACCTAACAAAATCAGTATCTCCTGCCTTTTCACTGGACAAAATGACAATCGGCCGTTACTTTTGGGGTCACATGGACTCTGATTAATAATTAATCGAAAATTGTGCAAGGGCATAAAGTAATGCGTGTTAGTCACTTGTCGCATTCGAATATCGTTAAAAGGTCGCATTACTGATAGCACCATTTTTATATGCAATATGCTTATCATCATCCCATACTTGATCAGACTAAGCAAACTAACTGTTAAACTTCCTGTATAAATATGCATGGAGACCACCATGCTTCACACTCCACTCCACACTGGCACACTGCCCATATCCATCTATTCTGAATAGAGCCTCTGCATTGAGTTAAGAACTAATCCGTTTGACTAATTCTGTTTTTGCACACAAGTCGCCATAATCACCATGACAATGGCCATGGCGTCAATGAAGGGAGAGAACGTCACTGTATCTGCAGCAGCAGCTCCTCGGATGAAGAAGCTGGCGAGCATGCTTTGCATGAAGGGAGGGAACGGCGATGGCAGCTATCTCAACAACTCCCAAGCTCAGGTACGTACGACGTTTCCAAACACGAGCTTTACAGAAAGCAGGGGCAAATCCTGTGAAATGAATCACTGGGATCTTAACTAGGGAAACTATTCTAATCGCTCGAGGGGATGTTCCCTCGTTTGCTCAAAAACCATCTAAACGGTTATGAAAAATTCTAAAAAAATTTGACAACATTCATACAACACATATATACAACTTCACAAAAGTCCAAACTCAACTCACACACGTCGAGATATAAAAAAGACAAATTCAGCGTATGAATAGTAGCGTACTGTTTATATCTAAATTTGTCTTTTTTGTTTCTCGATGTGTAGATCGAATTTGAACATGAATTTTGGTGGACTAGTAGGTATCATTATACTTTACATTATCAATTTTTTTTTTAGAATTTTTCACAACTATTAGCATCGAATTTGGAAGAAAAATGTATACGAGAGGATATCCCCTCGAGGTATTAGAATCCACTCCTCTTAACTATACATTTAGCAAAGAAAAAGTTAGGATCTGAACTGAACCCTTGTGCTCTATGAAATGATCATGTGGATGTTTCAATCGTCTAACACTTGTGTTTAATATATTGAATATGGCTTTCAGTTACTGCAACAATTTTTTTTACAAGTACAAAAACTCAAAAATTTTCTGAAGATGTGTGCAAAACGACGAGTGTTTTTGTCCTGCACAAGATATCAGATGTAGCTAGCCATCCAATATTTAGTCCTACTTTACTGTACAAGTAAATGCATGGTAGTTACTATAATACAGGTTAAGAATTGATAGCGTCAGTTTTTAACTGTAAACTGGCTATAAATAGGCTCTGCACGCCCGGCGCATGCTTCACTTTCTGGAGGAGACACTGGACGCGATGATGGAACGTTCGTCCAGCGACAAGCTCTTCACGGCGGCCGACCTGGGTTGCTCCTGCGGCAGCAACAGCCTCTTCATCGTCGACGTCATCGTCCGCCGCGTCTCCGAGGCGTACGAGTCCCGCGGCCGCGACGCCCCCGAGTTCCAGGTCTTCTTCTCCGACCTCCCCAGCAACGACTTCAACACGCTGTTCCAGCTGCTCCCGCCGCTCCTCGCGCCGGTGGCCGGCAGCCTCGAGGAGTGCCTCGCCGCGGGCGAAGGCGCGGCGACGGCGACGCGGCCGTACCACGCGGCCGGCGTCCCCGGGACGTTCTACGGGCGCCTCTTCCCCGGCGAGTCCATCGACGTGTTCACCTCCACCTTCTCTTTGCACTGGCTCTCGCAGGTGCCGGAGGAGGTCGGTGACAGCGCGTCGCCGGCGTACAATGGCGGGCGGGTGTTCGTCCACCGCGCCACGGAGGCCGTCGCCGCCGCGTACAAGCGCCAGTTCCAGGCCGACCTCGCCCGCTTCCTGCGTTCGCGGGCGCGCGAGATGAAGCGCGGCGGCGCCATGTTCCTCGCCTGCCTCGGCCGGAGCTCCGGCGACCCGGCCGACCAAGGCGGCGCCGGCCTCCTCTTCGGCACGCACTTCCAGGACGCGTGGGACGATCTCGTCCAGGAGGGCGTGGTCGAGGGGGAGAAGAGGGACAGCTTCAACATCCCGGTGTACGCGCCGAGCCTGCAGGAGTTCCGCGACGTCGTGCGCGCGGACGGCGCGTTCGCGATCGACAGGCTCGAGCTGGTGAGGGGAGGGAGTCCGCTGGTGGTGGACCGGCCGGACGACGCGGCGGAGGTCGGCCGCGCCATGGCGAACAGCTGCAAGGCCGTGGCCGGGGTGCTCGTGGACGCGCACATCGGCGAGCGCCGCGGCGCGCAGCTGTTCGAGCGGCTGGAGCGGCGCGCGGCGAGGCACGCGAGGGAGCTCGTGGAGAAGATGCACTTCTTCCACGTGGTTTGCTCGCTCTCTCTCGCGCCATAACAGCATCGCAAACGGATGCGTATAGCAGCATCCGCATAGTAGTAGGTTCGGTGAACCCGTTTTGAGTGGTTGCACACGAATTTGCTGCAGCTTTCTTTCATTTCCTTGGCTTCCAATGAAACGAGTTCTACGTGTACGTTTGTACCGCACGTCCACGTGCACAGTGATTTGTAGTTGTATTCCCTCTGTTTTATATTATAGCTCGTTTAATTATTTTTTAGTTAAATTTGTTTAAGTTTGATCAAGTTTTTAGAGAAAAAAATATAGTAACACTTTCAATATAAAACAAACATATTATCTAAATATATTCAATGTTAAATTTAATAAAACTTATTTGATATTATAGATATTGCTATTTTTTCTATAAACTTCATCAAACCTAAAAGAAAACTTAGATCAAGAAAAAAAATCGAACAACTTATAATATGAAACGGAGTACTAGTGAGCATGCGTATTTGAAACAGATCGCTTGATTCCATGGTTAAACGCAACTACGCAAATATGATTCACATAGGGAAATTCTGGAAGTGAAAAATAAATTCAGCAAAAATATTCTACGGAAGAAGCAATTGCTGTACCCTCTCGCAGTCTTGCTTGGCACTGTACATGTATTGTATGGTGTGTTGGGGAGTTCTGTGACTATACAGCAAAATATGTGGGTCAAAGATCCAGGATTATGCAATCGTTCTGGAAATACCATTTATTTGGGAAATTTGGTCACGACCAAACAGTAAATTATCGTCTCAAACCTTACATTTCACACTGAACCCGGAGAGGCAGAGAATTCTCTACTGTTTCTAACTTCACAAGCTAAAGGAACATCAGGAAATAAAAGTCATCCGTTCACGTGCTTCAGACTAACATCTTATCGCACATCGGTCCTCTGTACTGCTCAACCAAATAATGACCGACCCTTGTTTCGTTCAAGCCGAGCCTCCCTCTGTTAATAATAAAATACAAAGGAAATGAAGCATACTCAACTGGAGGAAATAGTATGAGAAGTAAAATGTTGTGATCATTGATCAAGCATATATAGAACTCCTTGGTCATTCTTGTTTATGATATAAAGAAAGATTTCGATAGGCATTAGTCCAGATAAATAAAAACATTCTTGCAAATAAAGCTCATCCCAGCATCTGAATATATTTATGATATATAGTCAAGTTAACTTTGCTCGCAACTTGCACGTAAAGATCATATACCAGTTTTTACTTGAATAGATTTGTCATGGGCACTGGGACCAGAGGCCGAGGCCCAAGATTATGTATCAAATATTTAAACCTGTACGCCATTATCGCTTCTCTACATAGGTATTTTTCAGACTCAAATATTACTACTGAATCAGCTAATGTGTTTGAGAGAGATGTAACAGGAGTTCAATTATCAACTAACAATTCTGATGTAGCAGATTGTTGTTCATGTGTTCTGGCAAATATTCCATCACAAACAAGAACACATCACAGAGAAATTCTAGGTGAAAGTGATGTTTTTTATACAAGCACTAAAATTGCACATTGAGGGCGCTTTGGAATCAGAAAAAAAAAGGTTTAACTCAGGAAGACGGGGAAGATGGAGAGACTGAAGGTTCAGATAGACAGGCATAAGATGACAAAATATTCAGGCCACCTAGAGGCAATAATTTTATGGTGAGTTCGTAATGGGTTCAATAACTGACTACTGTAAATATCTACTTCTACGGTGCAAACAATTGGTTATACCTGAGGAGAAAGGAAGTGTAGATCAAGTCAATAGTGCTTACTAGTCTATGGAAATCTTATATAATGGCCTCGGATTTTTATCAGCACATGGAAGGAGGAAAATTAACAGACAAGAGCATTGGTAAGATAGGATAAGAACAAAAGCAATCACAGTGATAAAAGAGGGCCATAAAATTAAACTCTAAACAGAAACAGTTTCCAAGCGTTTTTCTGGTGAAACAATAACTACTAATGTTTGTTTGAAGGATTAACAATGGTACACCCATGGAGTCAGGGACGCTCAACAATGTACTTGTTGGTGAACTGAATGAAGGTGTGGCACACCATGTCGCGCTGCCCTTTGGGTAAGCACATCCTAATTCTTGCTGTATACCGAGCCATTCTACATCTACACAATTTCCTGAATAGTTTTGTTTTTTTCAATATCATGTACAGTGGCGGAGTCAGCGTGGGGGCTGGGGGGTAGACCCCCTACCCCCTAATGAATCATTAGTGTCCCCATTAAGACCCCCTAAAATTTAAATCCATATATCTATTGCAAGGGGGCTAAAATAGACCTTGTCTGAGATTGTTAGAAGGTCCAAAAGGCTGAGTAGCCCCCACTATAATTTTATTCTGGCTCCGCCACTGATCATGTAGGAACATGAAGAGCATATATAGTCACTAATATTAGCACCACATGACATGATGACAGTAGAGGGGAATTATCATACACGAACAGGACAATATGGTGAATATGCCAATGCCACTGGTAAGGTAATCAGGGTCATCTTTGGCCAAACTGTGCCAAAAGTTATAATTTAGGATCCACCAAAAGTGCTTAAGGCATGTGGCCAGACAAAAAACCGTCAACAAGAACAGAAAACAAAACATATTGTCTTGCACGATCGATTGGGGTCGTAAATCATACAGTACCATCACTATTTACTTTAGACAGATTAGGGGAAAATAGGATAATAGCAATACCTCTCTCTTTTTGCACTCCTTATAGTCGTCGAACTGCTGCTGGCACTTGCTCTTGTCTTGGTTGGCCTCCAAACCTGAAGAACCAACACGAACAGAATCAGAGATCAACCACACACGCGTGAAAATCCGAGCTCTCCACATAGTATGATGACTGCGAAGGGGGTCAAGGAGGCGGCGAGGAGATGGGGGTAGTTAGATCAAGATTAGGACGGATGCATCATACACTTGAGGGAGGCGGTGTACTGGGGGAAGCAGTCGGAGTCGGCGATCCTGGCGGCGCTGGGGTACGGCGGGGACGCCGCCGCCGGCGACGACAGCGCGGAGGGTAGGGAGGGCAGCCAGTGGCTGCCTTCGCCGTCGCCATGATGCCTTCTTCCTCTTCCTCTTCCTCTCTCTGCTCAGCGTTGCGGGGCTTTGGATTTTTTTTTCTTTTTTCTTTGGCCTGAATAGAGTCCACATCGGCAGTAATGGGCAGAAATATCTATAGACGTTGGGCCGTGCAGCAACTCGTTTTGGGCCGGAATCCAGCCCAACACTTGCAAGATGATTTTTTATTTCAGGGAGTTGCTAACCGTATATATGGGGAAAACTTGGGTTCATTTGTTACTCCTAAAGTCCTAAAGAAGTCATTTGGAAGAGTGGAATCGGCCAAAGTTAAACAATTCTTGGCATGATATCATGGTTGGTTGGCATGATATTTAGCTTCAGAACAAAACCTTGTACAATGAGCTAAATATCATGCAAAAATGTAGTACACGATCAAATTTAGGCATACGCAGTTTTCAGAACAAAAGAAGAAAAAAATCAATGACTGTATAGTGTATACACTTCCAATAGACATCTTGTGCCTACAGATAGAGGCCATTAGACTGTGTACAAGAGCTGAGTCACTGCGTCATAGATAACTATTTCTTTGTTGATTACTGCAGTTGAAATTTCGTCGAAGTATACGAGATGTTGAGTTCCTCCGAAGCAAACTACTCCCGAGTTGCTCAGAATATCATCTGATTAGCTGCCATCTAATCGATAAGGTGTAAGCACGAAATAGAAAAGACGGAGTGCTATCATATTGACAAAGCAAAGTCTTCTACAAAAGTATTAAACTGACCTGGACGGCAATAATTTTGCAGTCTCGTGCAACTTGGTCAATAAAAAAATTGTTTTATGCAACTTTTGGTTCCTATATATAAACGTCATTCGTCCATAGCAATTCAAACTTCAAAGTCTCGTCCTGTTCATCTTCTCCAATGTGCCCTGTGAACGGAAAGCTGCAGCTGCACGATGGCAGAACTGCCTACCACTTCCAGCCTGCCAAGTTCTGGCAGAATGGTAATGTACACCTTGCCCTTATTGTTCTATCATTGTCTGCTTGAATCATGGCGAAGTTCATAACTTGTTTGTCAAATCGTGTTTGGATCTCTGAATTTGGATGGACACTGCCGCTGGCGAAACTGAACAGATCCAAATGGTACGATGCCCCTTCTTCCTCCTCCATCATTTTCTTTTCTTCCATTATATTCAGTCATTCAGAATGAGTCCATGCACGAACTCTTCACTCTTGTGAGCTTAAAAACCTGTAATCGAAAGGTATTAGTCCACATAATTAAGCATATTTTACCATACACAATAAAGTTTGGATGATCATTGCCAATCATCAGGTTGTCTTGGTCATGATCAGCATAATTGCCCAGTAATGGCAGTAATTTTCCATTGAAATGGCAGGGCCTCTGTACCACAACGGTTTGTACCATTTCTTCTACCAGTACAACCCGCACGGCCCGCTCTGGGACACCGGCAAGCTCTCCTGGGGCCACTCCGTCTCCGGCGACCTCGTGAACTGGGCCTTCCTCGGCACGGCGATCGACCCCACCGACCCGTTCGATGTCAACGGATGCTGGTCGGGCTCCGCCACCGTCCTCCTCGGCGGCCGCCCCGCCTTCCTCTACACCGGCAGGGACGCCGGCGGCGTGCAGGTGCAGAACGTGTCCTTCGCCAAGAACCCGCTCGACCCGCTCCTCCGCGAGTGGGAGAAGCCCAGCTGCAACCCGATCATCGCCTTCCCCGCCGACGTCATCAACAACAACTTCCGCGACCCGACGACAGCGTGGCTCGGCCGGGATGGCCTGTGGAGGATGGTCGTCGCCGCCGAGGTCGCCGGCGCCGGCTCCGCCCTGGTGTACCGGAGCGCCGACTTCCTCCGCTGGGAGCGGAACGCCGCGCCGATGCACTCGTCGGCGGCCGTCCCCGTCCTGGAGTGCCCGGACTTCTTCCCGGTGGCGGAGCACGGCATCGACGGCCTCGACACGTCGGCGAACGGCGGCGGCACCGGCGTGAAGCACGTGCTCAAGCTCAGCGAGTTCGACACGCACCAGGACTTCTACATGGTGGGGCGGTACGACGACGAGGGGACACCTTCTCGCCGGAGGAGCCTGACCGCGGCGACAACTGCCGGAGATGGCGCTGCCTCGACTACGGCCAGGCGTACGCCGCCAAGTCGTTCTTCGACGCGCGCAGGAATCGGCGTGTGCAGTGGCTGTGGGTCAACGAGTACGACAGCAAGGCCGACGACGTCGCCAAGGGCTGGGCCGGCGTCCAGGTCACCTCCCGCTCGCCACCATGCACGCCGGCGACGTCGCCATCGATCTGATTCGGCGACGAACTGAATATCTTGAGCTGCCGTGCAGGCGTTCCCGAGGAAGGTGTGGCTGGACGGCGACGGGAAGCAGCTGCTGCAGTGGCCCGTCGACGAGATCGAGACGCTAAGGACGAAGCGTGTCGGGCTGCAGGGCACGGAGGTGAAGGCCGGCGGCCTGCACGAGATCGTCGGCGTCGCGAGCTCCCAGGCCGACGTCGAGGTGGTGTTCGAGATCCCGAACCTGGAGGACGAGGCCGAGAGCTTCGATCCCGACTGGCTGGATCCCCACAAGCTGTGCAAGGACAAGGGCGCCGCCTCCGCGCACGGCGGCGTCGGCCCGTTCGGGCTCATCGTCATGGCCTCCGGCGACCTGCAGGAGCAAACCGCCGTCTTCTTCAGAGTGTTCAAACACCATGGAAAGTACAAGGTCTTCATGTGCACTGACCTCACAAGGTAATTGAAAGTTGAAACTCCTCCAAGCCAATTAAAACTTAAAATTTGTGACCCAAACGATTACCAATTTTTGCACAATTTTCGCTGAAATTGCATACTTGTAGGTCATCGACAAAAGCAGATGTGTACAAGGACGCTTACGGAGGATTCGTTGATGTGGACATACAGAAGGACAAGAGCATATCACTCAGAACACTGGTAAAATTCTGTCACTAAAATCTTAGTTCTTCAGTACGTAAACCATGCGCATGAACTGAAATCGAACGAAAATTCAGATTGACCACTCGATGATTGAGAGCTTCGGAGGCGGTGGCCGAGCGTGCATCACAACCCGGGTATACCCTGAGCACGCAGCAACAAGCAGCAGTCACCTGTACGTGTTCAACAATGGGTCAGGCACGGTGAATGTGTCCAAGCTCGAGGCGTGGGAGATGGCCACGGCGACCGTGAACTCTGCAGATGCATTGGACGCAATAACGCGTAGCTGAAACGTCTTAGTATGCATGGCTTGGCTAATTCGATCAATGGTTACTGTGCTGTGGCCGATCGATTTTATCATTTATCATTCATCAGTCACACGACCTTCAAGGCCATAGCCTGCCTGTCTGGAGGTTTATTGCCTTATTCCCAGGATAAAATAAAGGTTGTATGTTACAAATGTTTGATCGGTTCTCAAGTTCACACAGTGATGGATGTTGCTATTGCAGATTATATTACTCTTAAGTTTTTAAACGAACCGACACTAACACCAATTTCATTGAATATAGTAGGAGAGAGGATACTTACCCGTAAAAACAGGAAAAAGATGTTATATACAGAGTTTTTTCCGTAGGCTTACCACTCTATTTATAAGGATAAGCCAAGCGAAGAATTGTTAATCTTTCATTTGGCTCTGAAAATTCTAATCACCTGCAAAAGAAGCCGCTTGATCGATCGAGTGCAGCAGAGGCAAATGGATCTCTTGTGAATTGTGACAGCCAAGGTTTAGTCAAAAGACAATGGTGGTAGGTTGATGCACCGAAGTAAACAAATATTGAATTACTCAGCAGAGCTGATCTGATTAGCACCGATCACAGGTTGGTCCGCATGCTTACGTACAAATATCGTCGCATTTTATATGACCTAATGGTCATCAGCGATTAAGAAAACATTAGTGCGCACATGGTGGCAGGTGCTTAATTAACATGTATTAAACTCGGAGACTTGTAAGTCTTCTCAAATTTGCAAACTCTACTGTTTTGTTTGATAGTTTTGCTAGCTGCTGCTTCACTCTACTGTTCGGCCATGGCGTTGGCTGGATTGCCCCTCTCCGTCTTTGCCATCGCTGTCCATTTTTGCCTTGTTTTCTCCTCCTCCTCTTCTCCTCCGGTTTGCCCTGCAAACGGCCACCGTGACCGAACGGCGTACCACTTCCAACCCGCCAAGAACTGGCAGAACGGTGCGTATGCAATTACCTCTCTGAGTTTCTGTGAATTCTTGCCCAAAAATACTATCAATTCCCGTTCTCTGATAGTGTATACTGTATTTTCATTTGGATATATCTGGATGAACTGAACCATGTGGGAACGGATGAAACCAATTAGATCCGAATGGTACGTGTTTTTTTTACTGATACTCTGCTCATATTTCTGTCTTCTTCAATCCATGGTAATTTGTACCTTAATTAGGGCGTAGTGACCATTAGGTTGTTCTTAATATGATCAGGGCCTGTGTACTACAATGGCATGTACCACCTCTTCTACCAGTACAACCCGCACGGCGCGCTCTGGGACGTCGGCAACCTCTCCTGGGGGCACTCCGTCTCCGGCGACCTCGTGAACTGGGCCGCCCTCGACAACGCGCTCGATCCCACAGCGCCATTCGACGCCAATGGTTGCGCGTCGGGGTCAGTCACCATCCTCCCCGACGGCGTGCCCGTCGTCATGTACTCCGGCATCGACGCCCGCCGCCGGCAGGTCCAGAACGTCGCGTTCCCCAAGAACCCTCGCGACCCGCTCCTCCGCGAGTGGACCAAGCCCGGGTACAACCCGGTCATCCCTGTCCCCGCCGACGTCTCGCCGGACAATTTCCGGGACCCCACCACCGCCTGGCTCGGCAGCGACGGCCTGTGGCGGTTCGCCATCTCCGCCGTGGCCGACGGCGTGGGCGCGACGCTCGTGTACCGGAGCGCCGACTTCCTGCGGTGGGAGCGCAACGCGGCGCCGCTGCACGCCTCGCGGGACGCGGTCATGGCCGAGTGCCCCGACCTGTTCCCCGTCGCCGAGCACGGCGAGGACGGGCTCGACCTCGACGCGTCGGCGATCGGCGGCGCCGGCGCCGGCGTGAGGCACGTCCTCAAGGTCAGCATGCCGGACACCCTCGAGGACTACTACATGGTCGGACGGTACGACGACGCGGACGACACGTTCACCGTGCCGCCGGAGGACCTGGAAGCCCACGGCGATGACTACCGGCGGTGGCGGCGGATCGACCACGGCCACCTGTACGCGTCCAAGACGTTCTACGACGCGGGCAAGAAACGGCGCGTGCTGTGGGCGTGGGTGAACGAGTCCGACAGCGAGGCCGACGACGTCACCAAGGGCTGGTCCGGCCTTCAGGTCAGCGCGCCCGTCACGATCAACATATACAATGGCAACGCAATCGCAACCCTGTGTGCTCAGTGCTCACTGGCTCGATCGTGCGATCTGTTTTATGCAGTCGTTTCCGCGGGCGGTGTGGCTGGACGAGGGCGGGAGGCAGCTGGTGCAGTGGCCGGTGGAGGAGATCGAGACGCTGAGGCGGAAACGCGGCGTTCTGCTCGGCGGAAACGAGGTGGAGGCGGGCGGGCTGCGCGAGATCGGCGGCATCGCGGGCTCGCAGGCGGACGTGGAGGTAGCGTTCGAGATCGCGAGCCTCGCGGGCGCCGACCGCCTCGAGCCCGACCATTTGCGTGACCCCGACGCGCTGTGCGGGGAGAATGGCGCGGCGGTGCACGGCGGAATCGGCCCGTTCGGGCTGCTCGTCATGGCATCCGGCGACCTGCGCGAGCGCACCGCCGTTTTCTTCAGGGTGTTCAGGCTCTCGCACGGGTACACGGTCCTCATGTGCACGGACCTGACACGGTAAGTGTAAAAAAACTGACATCTTACTCGGGCTGGGCTAGGAGAAATCCCCGTATTTTGGGCCAGGCCGCCTGAAGGCTGAAACGTTTAGTCGAGATCTCATGTCTGTTCTTGGGCCAATTTTCTATTTGTACAGGTCAACTTCAAGAGCAGGGGTGTACAAGCCATCCCACGGAGGATTCGTGGACATAGACATAGAGAAGGACAGGGCTATATCGCTTCGAACCCTGGTGAGTTCACTTCACATTTTGAGCGCTCACCTGACAAACATTTGGCACTGATAACATGCTCGACCTAACGAATTGGGCAGATCGATCATTCGATCGTGGAGAGTTTTGGCGGTGGGGGGCGGACGTGCATGACGGCTCGAGTGTACCCTGAACATGTAGCAACGGGGAGCAGCCACCTGTACGTGTTCAACAATGCGTCAGATGCGGTGAAGGTGTCCAAGCTGGAGGCATGGGAGCTCGCGACGGCTAGTGTCAATGCTGGAGACGACGGGCTGATTTCGTATGGTGGTCCTGTATGTGCTGCTCAAGTGCAGTAATAGCTGCTGGCATATGCTCTATAGTACTCCCTCTATTTCGAAATGTTTGACACTATTGACTTTTTAGCACATGTTTGACCGTTCGTCTTATTCAAAAACTTTTATGAGATATATAAAATTATATGCCTACATAAAAATATATTTAACAATGAATCAAATGATAGGAAAAGAATTAATAATTACTTAAATTTTTTGAATAAGACGAACGATCAAACATGTGATAAAAAGTTAACAGCGTCAAATATTTTGAAACGGAGGGAGTACTCTGTTTACTCCAGCATGCACGATGGCCATTCATTCTGAACTTCTGATAGGAAATAGCCATCGATTGGACGCAGTGTGTTTCTACCGGGCGCGGATGAGGTGGACGCGCGCGAGCGGCCTGCTGTGAGTAGTGACTTCAATTGGGAACAGGATAACAAATAGGTGTTGGGTTGCCGGCTGCGTTTGATCGATAGGCGGAATCGCAAGGATGTGTTGTGTACTTGTGTTGGAGATGGCGAGCATTGATCGTGCCTCGGCGACCTGTCAATCCTCACCGGGACGGCGAGACCGGGTGCAATGTATGGGCTCATCGATCTAAATCGGGTAGTAAAGGAACAAGTTCATCTAAGGTCCTTTAACTTGACAACGAATCCGATTTTCATTCTTTAACCAAAAACGTTTTTGATACAACGGTCCTTGAAATACCAAAACCAATACAATATAGGTCCTAACTCCTAAGGTAGTATAGTCGGTGGTTTTGTACGACGTGGCAATTTGACTTGGGTCAGCGCCGCTGAGTCAGTGTAGGGCCCACGTATCAATTAAGTTCACCGTCTTCCCTCTCTTCTCATTTCTCTCCAGGCCTCCACCTTGGTAGCCAACGGGAGAGGTGGCCGGCGACGAGCAACCATTTCGGTGGGAGAGGCTCGCGGCGGTCGTCGAGAGAGGACGGTGGAGAGGTGCACGGCGGGTGCAGGCTCGACGGCTGAGGGCGGCAGCCAGCGGGGAGAACGGTGGGGCTGACGAAGGAGGCTCACGGCGGTTGGCGGGTAGAGGCTCACGGCAACCCCTTCCTCTTTCCCTCATCGCCACGGCCGTGCGCTGCTGTCGGACGTCTTTATCTGTGTGTAGATCTGGAGGTGAGGAGGACAATAACGACGCAGCAACTTCCCATCCTGATTTGGTGTAGATCTTGGACCCAGTCATCGCCGCCCCTCGTCCCGTCCTGACCTTGGGCAGCGGCGGACCTTGGGATGGGAGTTGCTGCGTGTGGGTAAGGCACTGTCGCCAGTGTCCCGCTGGATCCCTGTTGGTGGATTCCGCCAGCCGACCGTCCTCCTCACCACCCGCCGTCGGCCGCCAGCCTCCTCACCGCCCATCGCGGGCCTTCTCCTCACCACTGTAACGCCCCGATTTTCGTTCGGGATTAAAAAGCAATTAATAATGCATTTCAAGAAATTATATTAAAAGTTAAATCAATTTAATCAAGTGAAATTATAGAGGAAATTAAAATTTCCTTTAAAAATCATTGGCCGAGAATATTTTGTAATATTCTTTGTGCCCTAAAATACTCTCTGGATTTTTTTCGCAAATTTTCGGAGCTCAAGAAATAATTTTAAAGTAACAAAGATCATTTAACCAATTAAATAAAAAGAAAACAAATTTAATTCTCCTTCCTTCCCTTTTGGGCTTGACCCAAGCCTTCCCCTCCTCTCCCGCAGGCCGCGCGCCTCCTCTCTCTCTCGGCCGGCCCGCGCCTTGCGAAAGTCTACTTTACGTCCCCCGGTTTCCTTCCTCTCTCTCCATCCGGCCGACAGGTGGGACCGGCGGTCCCACCTGTCAGCTCCTCCTCCTACCTCTCGCCGGCCAACCCCAACCGCCATTGCCGCCCACGTCGCCGCAAAATGCGGCGCCCTCCCGCACCCGAGCTCGCATCCAACCACGTGGACACAACCCCCTCCACGTCCTCCACCTTTTCCCCCACTCACCCCGCAAGAAACGGCGCCGGTTTGACCTCCCCACGAGCTCCACTTCACCTCCCCACGTCACCGGCCGATCCCGCCTCTCCCGGCCACGATCTCCATCCCCGAGCCCTATATAAAGCACCCTCGTGCTCCCCTCCTCTGTTTTCCCCTCTCTCCCAAGCTCCCCCATGCCCGGACCCCCTCCTCCCCGTGAGCCCAAGCACCACCGCTCACCGGCGGACTCCAGCCGGCCGCTGCCGCCGCTACCGCCGTCCCCGTGCCGCGCCGCTTGCATCGCCGGCCTCGCCGCGCTTTGCCGCATCCCGTCCACCGCTCCGCTTCCGCAATAAACCACCCGGGCACCGATTCCACCGTGAACCCGAGCTCCACCGCCACTTTGCCGACTCCGGCAGCGCGCCACCGCCGCCCTAGCCACCACCAAGCCACGCCACTGCCACCGTCGGCTTCGCCGCATCACGTAGCACCCCGGCCTCTGCTTCGTTTTCCCGTTCCACCGCAGCAACACCATCTCCACCGCGAAGCCGAGGACGTCGCCGCGTTTGCCGTCTTCGGCCGCCTCTTACCGCTGTTCCTTGCCACCTCGCGCCACACCACCGCCTCTACTGCGTTCGCCGCGCTCCCCCGTACCCCGGCCGCTCCTTCACCTTCGTTGGAGACCGCCGAATCGCCGCCGTCGTCTTCGCCCCGTGGAGCGCCGCCGCCTCCCTCCGCGGCCGCTCCCTCCGTCGCCGCGCCTCTCGGTGAGCCGCCTCCCTCCTCCTTTTCCTCTTCGCCGGCCGCCTCCCGTGCCAGCGCCGCGTTGCGCCACCGCCGCCGCCGGTTGTCTGGCCGTCTGCGCGCCGCCCGGCCATCCCCAGCCGTCCGATCTGCCTTGGCCGATCTGGGCCGTCCAACCCGTGGACCGGCGGTGGACCGTCCTTGTGGTCCCGGTCCACGGTGGACCGCCACCTCGTCTCGCTGACATGTGGGCCCCGCCTGTCGGCGCCGGCCCCCTCTCTTGCTGACGTTAGCGGCAGTCCTTTTCCTTTGTGAAAATATTTAATAATTGCGCAATAAATCATTAATAATTATAGAAATTCATTTAGTGGCTCAAAACTTCTAAAATTCATATCTAATTCATTCGAACTCCAAATTGGGCCATTTAAATTGCAAAATTCATCTAAAATTGAGTTCTACATGTTTGTTTACTTTTTAGGTACTGTGTCCTTCGTTTTTATTAGGTTTTTCCTCGTTTTGCGTGCTAGCGTGTAGAATCCGTCGTTTTGGAAGATCGCGGTCGCGAGGAAAAGAGTTCAGAAAATCCAAGTGAAGAAGCAAGGCAAGTCACACATTCCCCTTGAGCATGTTGATCCCAATTTACAAATGTTTTACTGTTTGCAAATAAATATGCATGTTTTGCTAATTACATGGGGTCAGGGTTTTACCTATCTGCTCGCTTGTGCCATGTTTACTTGATATCTGTCCTTTGTCAACCATGGGTAATAAATCGCCTAGCTTGTGTTACTTTGATGACCTAGCTAGAACTATATGCTTAGCCATGCTTAATTACCACTAGCTCAGTCGATGGGATAATTGCAGTATTAGACATTCTAGTATCTTGTTGAGCTGCGTGCTCGAGACATCTGGCCATGCTTCATGGTCGTAATTATCCAACTAAAATGCGACTGAATGGTGGGCTGTGGGTGCATGGTTTTGCTGGTCGCACCCATGGCAGTTAAGGACTGGTTCGCGGGATGCCCTGGAAGAACTTATCGTACTTACCACAAGCCAGCGTGGGCAACGGCTGGGCTTGTAGTGTAGCTTTCCTCTAGTCAATGCATCCAGGCAAGGGTGGGCGTGATGGAGCGGGGCGGGCCCTGCGACGGCCTCTGTCGCTTCCGGATTCACCTAGGCACGAGAGGGGACTGCCCGTTGCCCGCTGGGGACGGGGGTGTAACCTAAGGTGTGGTGTGCTTGGCTAGAGGGGGTTATGCGAAGGGTCCTGTCACGGCCTCTTTCCGGTATGTCGTGGTGGCATGTCGGCGCACGGAAACGTGTCGTGGGGATGTGTCTTGTGGGTACAGTTGTACACCTCTGATCAGAGTAAAGCTATTCGAATAGCCGTGCCCGCGGTTATGGGCGGTCGACCAGATTCACCGTGATTAGTCCCATCTTAATAAATCGACCCAATACACTGTAGTTCAGGTGGGTTGGTTGGACCTGTTCAACGTGGTGTAGCGTTGATAAGTGGAGATTTAATGTTACTTTAATTACTCAACAGTTTTACTGTTTTGCTCAATAAAATGTTTTACAACTGCCTTTATGCAAATAGCCACAAACCATCCTTGTATCCCCTTGCACATCTGCATTGTTGGTGTGGCTTGCTGAGTACGGTGGTTGTACTCAGTCTTGCTATTATTCCCCCTTTTCAAAAGTGTAGTGCTTCTGAGCTGAAGATGGAGTTAGAGGACCAAGGCTCAGACCCCAGTTGAGTTTTGCCTGTGGAGTGGAGCTGAAGCCTCACTAGGATCGCCTTTTTCCGCTGCTGTCGTTCTGTTTCGGTGTGAGGACTAAGTGCCTGTTCTGTAAGTATTTTACGCTTTATTTACGTTTGGAACTGTATATTACTTGTCATTTTGTGTACCCTGGCTGGTCCTGGACAGGGATTTAATACGCAAAATAGTCTGGAAATTTGGGTTAAATTTCTGGGCGTGACAACCACTCTCCCCCTTTTCTGCATCTTCCCCATCGAAGTAACGGCGGTGGCTTAGGGATGGCGTGGCGAGCACCTTCTCGAGCTCTACACTAACCAGCCTCGTCGAGCTCCCATGCCGAAGAAGCATTCTCATATGGAGAGCTGGTTGCTGGAGAGGCTCTCCAAGGCCGAGTGCGAAATCTCACTGATGGACTAGACTGAGAAGGAAGCCAAGAAGATCCAACAAGAATACTTCACAGATGCTATCTCTTTCATGCTCCAACCACGATATGATCACCTCCGCCTATCATGAACCCCCCACCGCCAGATGTCCCAACCACCATTGGCGCCGCAGTCAGCCTCCTCCGGCTCCTCCAACAACGGGACTGTGGTGGCCGTTGAGATGGGAACAAGGGGGAGGAAGG